ACGGTTAGGGTTGAGAGAGATCAGCAGGTGACTTACCGAATGGACAAGGAGCCTGGAGTGCTTCGGATAGGGAGTTTATGTTCGCCCTATAGTTGTTTAGTATATATGCTCACAACAGTCAGGTCAGATGGTATAGCCTGAGGCGTGTTACGGAATCAGAGCCTGTAATATATACAGTAACGGTACGAGCCAGGTGTACGGCTACCTTAATCACATGATTGCTTACAGTCCACCTTGGCAAGCGTGAAGTGGGGAAACTCAGGGGGATGGAGGAGTTCGATCGGTCCGAGCTGCACGAGGCCTAAGCCATAAGGAGAATGCAAATGAATGGAGTAATACTCTATCTAAAACGTAGCCTAGAGTATAGAGATACTTGAGTGCTTAGGTGTTGAAGAGGATCGTGGCCTGCAAAATATGAGTCTCGGACGGATTAACGTTGTTCCCGACCTCCGAGCTAATTATATCTCATCAAAGCGGACGCGTCCATGTGACCTGTAACCTGGTCAAATACCACTACGACCCTCCAGGACAGGCTTATTCATCGTTCACCCAATTCGTCCTAGTATGCTTTCATAACAAACCATAGTTCAATTAGAAAAAGAGACCCCCTGAGATCGCTCAACCGATCGATATACCTTCAATCAATCATCTGATTCTATTAGACATGTTCAGTACTATCCAGTACATCAATTCCTCAATCTGACAATATAATTAATTCAAATCTTAACACATGCTTCGTACACCACCGATTAGAATTCTTAATGACCTGCAGTCTACGGGGTACAGTAGATTAGGTTATGTGTATACAGTAAGCTAACGCATTTCTATCCATGGAGAGCGTGAGCGTGGAGCATTGATCTGTATTAGGAAGGCGGCGGCATGGATGGGAGGAAGGGTTGGTCAAAGACTTTTGCGGTGCCACTGTAGGGCGTTAGTTTCGTGCGCGACTTAGACTTTCCTATGACCTGCCCTTTACGAACCGTCATCCTTTTGGAACTACAAAGAACGTACGGCATGAAGAAAATGCCTCGACATTCCATCGCATGTCTAACGGCGACAAACGGGGAGGCTAAAGCAGTTTAAAAAGAAGTGCCTAGGTATGCTATCTTCACGCGATAATTTTCGTAGCCAAAATGCACCAAATGAGCCAAGAAGACAGGGCCCATACCAAGCCATACGACTTGGACCAAACGGCAGTCGATACGAAGTACCAAATCGGGTAGTTTCGCTGCACGTAGCTATTCGTTGGGGCTCTTCGCAAAAGCTAGGAAGGTTCAAACGCAAGACTCATACTCATTAGCTTTGTCGCAATAGTGTGTCAACACGGGGGCTCAATCAGCGTTGAATAGTAGTTTGAGATACATATAAATGCTTAAATTGGCCTCTTGACTGTTATTCAACATCATTCTATTTTGCAGAGACTTGATTCTCATTTAATTCTTATACAGACAAAGCCTCTACTATTTGTTGTCATAAATCATACCATGGCGCCCAGTTTGGATGATAGCGAAAGAGATTCGAAATGTGATATGAAAATGCCGACTCCAGTGCGGAAACCAGAAACAGATGATGACTATGCCGTCCTCGCAATTCGAAACCTCGTCTTTGATATGACAATGCAACACGGCGGGGGACACGGCGGCTCTGCATTGGGGATGGCAGCCATTGGTGTAGCGTTGTGGAAATACACCATGCGATACAATCCTAACGATCCGAGCTGGTTCGATCGTGATCGGTTTGTCTTGTCTAACGGTGAGGCCGAGGAATGCTGTTGGCTACCTATTCTACTGCGTTACATGCTGATCAAGATTACTCTACATGCGCAGGGCATGCCAGCATGTTCTTATATGCAATGAACTACCTTGTGGGGTACGATTCTTGGACAATGGAAGAACTTAAGGGATACGGATCCGCCAAGTTGAACGGATCCTCCACCTTGTGTCATGCCCATCCCGAGATCGAATGTCCCGCGGTAGAAGTGACCACGGGCCCATTGGGACAAGGTATCGCCACTGCCGTAGGGCTTGCCATCGCTTCCAAGAACATGGCCGCCAATTTTAACAAGCCCGATATAGATATTATCCAGTCACAGATCTACTGTATGACAGGAGATGGATGTCTTATGGAAGGAGTTGCCCTAGAAGGTTATTCATCAACCCCAGTGTCTACTTCTCTGAATTACATTAACTAAATGTGTCCACAATATTTTAGCAATATCACTGGCAGGAAATCTACAACTTGATAATCTGGTTCTCCTTTACGATAATAACCAGGTGACGTGCGATGGGCCCTTGGATTGGATCAACACGGAGGATACCAATGCGAAAATGCGTGCCTCCGGTTGGGAGGTGATCGATGTTTACGACGGAACTTATGATGTCAAAGCCATTGCCGCCGCCTTGCATCTGGCACGTGTCTATCGTGGCAAACCTGTGTTTATCAACATTCGCACTGTCATTGGGACAGACACTGCATTCGCGGGGACTGCCAAAGCTCATCATGGATCCTTCGATCGAGAGAGTATCTTTAACTCCAAAGTTCTCGCAGGAATTGATCCCAAATTCACGCATGTCGTCCCTCCAGACACCTTGGCCTTTTTTCGGGAACGCAAAGTGTACGGGAGCCGGCAACAGCAGGAATGGAACGATCGCTTGAACAGATACACATCGAAATATCCCCAGAATGCCGAGCGTTTGATGGCTCGCATTGAAGGGTCATTTGGGGAATGGACCACCACATTGGATACTCTGGACAGCTCCAAGTTTCAAGGTTTGGCAACTAGAGAGTCAAACGGAGACATTCTTGAACTATTGTGGAAGGTGAATCCCGCTCTATGCGGTGGTGGCGCAGATTTGGTAAACTCAAACAAGTTCAAGTATTCCGCAAATGATGTTTTCCACCCAGCAACAGTGAGTATTCATAAACAACTGGTTATGGTGCCCACTAAGTATGGTTCAGCTGATATGTCAATAGAGTTTTACTGGCAGATATATTCGGCATGGCATTAGAGAACACGCGATGGCCGCCATTGCCAATGGTCTAGCTGCATTTCACGCCGGCACCTTTCTCCCTGTGACTTCGACGTTCTCTATGTTCTACCTCTACGTAAGTGATTTCTCCATGGGGTTGATAACTTCGCTCATATTCCGTCTGCTAACTGTCTTTGTCTGTCCAAAGGCTGCCCCCGCGGTGCGCATGGGTGCACTCAGTAACCTGCAAGTGATCCATATTGCAACACACGACTCTTTCCAGGAAGGCCAAAACGGGCCGACCCATCAACCAGTGGAAATAGATTCTCTGTACCGAGCGATGCCAAATCTGACATATATTCGACCCTGTGATGCGTGAGTGCGGCTTCTGATTTGACAATCACACTACTTGCTATCGCATGAAACGCTGATCATCAGGTTTACAGGGAAGAACTTATCGGGGCTTACCAATATGCCCTTGGCAAAAGAGACTCGCCGTCGTTCATTTCGATTGCTCGCGATCCTGTCGGCCATGTGCCATCGACCAGCCGCACAAATGCAGCAAAAGGGGCTTACGTGATCTTCGAACGACTTGGAGCTAATGTGACCCTCGTCAGTTGCGGTTCCCAACTTCACTATGTGGTCACCGCTGCCGAAATTCTCAAACAACGAGGTATTACCTCTCGGATAGTCTCGGCCCCTTCTTTGGACATATTTGGTAAGCAATCAAGGGAATACCAAGAGTCGGTCTTTCCTACAAGCCGCTCGCCTATCGTGAGTGCCGAGGAATATGTCCCTCTGGCTTGGTCCCGATACACCACCGCCAGTATTGGGATGAAGAGCTTCGGCTACTCTGCGTCGAAAGAGAGCAACTATGACCGGTTTGGCCTTGATGCGATATCTATTGCCGACAAGGTGGCGCTATATTTGAAAGAATTGGACGGCGGAGATGCAAGACAAAAGGCGTGGGCTCTGTTGTAGTCTCATGGCTTGGAAATTTCGATCTATATGAGAAAGGTTATTTGCTGTGCCAAGAATCTAGGCATTGCTATAGACCACGTCGGTATTTTATAATATCTCTCGTAGCTCTATAGCTTTTTGTCTTGTATAGGTATTCTTCGGCTTAGCAATTCATTAAAGGCATGCTTTGTTAACTCCATATCATGAGCAGTTCAATTGGTTTTCAAGGTAGAAGAGATGGTTGATTCTGGTCGTATGTATGAAGCTAGGCTTATTTACATGATCTCAACACAAGCTCGTTAAATTTTCTAGAATGAATAAGCAGCTCACGAGGCAATACCAGATTAGAAACTTAATTTGATCCTCGTGGGACTGGAAGATGTGCTTGTACGTATAACAAGTCTAGGTCTTCTTAAAATGGCAATTGTTGCGAGTTAATAATTGTAACTAATACCCGTGGACTCGAGTGTCCTGCGTTTTGGAGAAAAGTATCGCACAGATTCGATTCAATTATATACCAACTTGACTTTAGTATGTGTTTTAGTTCAAAGGCATTGACTAATTGCGGCTCGAGAAGAAATACTTGAGACATATTATACAGCGCGAAGATAAATTGATTTCTAATCAACTCGTCTTAGTATCAGTACTTCGGGAATTGTTTCCGATGGTGTGGCTTGGTTTCTGATCTACACCAATCTCATATCACAAGAGAATTTAGAAAAGCAAGTATTTGGATACTGCACATTGCACTCTTTTTCGAAAAGTAAAAGCCATTCGGATCAAAGAATCAATCAATCAATCAATCAAAATTCTATTAACCTGATGAAGCCTATCTATTGAAACGACAGGCTATGCAGGCATTTCGCCGAATAAAGCAGAATCTCGAGCCCTTACGCTATATAAACCTACAAACGCAGCAAATAAATCAGTAAGTAACGTAACTAAATCGGCTGCCACTCGCCTGCTGCAGTTTACTGCGTCTCTTGATACTGTCTCTCCTTCTGCCTCGTTCTATATAGATAGTTCGTAAATGGTATGCGTCACTGGTAACGGCCTGACCCAGGCCGCCCTCTAAAGTTTTATGTCACTATCATTTTTTTTGCCTAGTTCGAGTCTTTTTAGTAGGTTGGTAAGTTCTGGAATCCCCTCGTCATTCTCGTCCAGTTGAGCGAATCAGAATTGTTAAAAAAAACTTATTTGTTATATAAATTCGGTAACGTAACAGATCGCCTGCAGGTATATTATAACTGTATTATAATCCTGTATACATTTATGCAGTCTCTTTATCTGATTAAAGTGATCTATTATTATACTCCGGCCGGCCGTGTGCAGCAAGCAATCTAGAAGAACGTACCTAGGGATCTAGGACCCTAGGTTACAGGCGCATCGGTCAGAATCGACCTATTTAATCTTGTAAAGAAAATACCTTAATCCTATCCTTATAGTGCGCATCTAAATAATAATCGAAGTGTGCAACTTACTGAAATACTTGTAGAACTGTAAATTCTTTTTGTTTAATTTTAAAAGTAGCTGTTTCGTTGGCCTGTTTATTTTCTGCTTTTTTTACTGCTTTGTTTACTCCTTATGCAAGCGTTAGCGGATATCTCTTTTAGTTACAGCTGCAAGCTGTATGATCGGTCGATTCTGTAATTTTAATAAGCTTAATTTAAATTCTCTTATCGCAGTCTCCTTAGCTGCTTTAGCTGCCTTTTCGTTTCTTTTTATCCTGATGTGAGCAGAAATTTAACGCAGTTCAGTATCCTCCAGGCTCTCGCTCTGCAGGGCCCTAATTTTCCCGTAGATAGTCCGTAATGCGTACTGGCCCGATGGCCGGCCAGGGTTGCGCACGGCTTGAATAGCTGTCTAGCTATCTGAGAAGACCGTAATCGGGATAAGCTTCGCCCGATCCAGGGCCATTCGGGCCCCTTCCAACTCCCCCACGTAGACCGTAGAGTCCAGTTCCGTTCCTAGGTACTTCCTGGCGGTCCTATCTGCTCGAATAGAGACCGCGGCAGCTCCGATTATCCCCTGATAACCGTTTCCATCTGTATACCAGATCCGCCGGTCCTCGCGGCAGACTGTATTGTGGGTCTGAACTGCTTCCTCTGCACCCTCAATGATGCACCTTAGGGGCAACTCCCACGGGGCTAACACGTAAGCCCGTCTGGTCTCCCATTCTTCCTGCCTGCCGCTGTTCGCGTATAGCGGGCCTGTTTTCTTCCACTTCAGTGCCTCCATCGGAGAGTATCCGGAGGCCTTGAATCCTCTGAAATTCATTAACCGTCTTCTGGAGCTTCTTGTAGTTAACTGTCCGGCTCGTAGGGCTATACCAGGCGGCCGCCCCGTAGAGTAGCTGAGGGACTACCACTGCTAGGTAGTTGCGGCGCATGCTCAGCAGGGAGGTCCCCCAGGTCGAGCCTGAGGTGCTGCGGAGGGCTTCTAAAGTCCTGTTCGCCTTAGCAAGGGCCTTGGCCCTGTGAGTGTCGAACGAAAGGGTCTTATCGAGCCAGATTCCTAGGTATTTGGCGTACTCCACTGGCTTGATGATAAAGCCGGTTGCGTGGTCCTTGATGGGCAGCTGGTCGTGACCAGGGGGCGAATTTGGACGAATGCTGCATTGACCATACCGCGGCCTTATCCAGGGCCCTCTCTAGAAGACGCTGATTGACCGCGTAGCTATCCGAGATGGCCAGGGTGGCAACATCGTCAATCCACCCGTAGGAGACCGTCTTGCCTCCCTCCAGGAGGGTTGGCTGAATCCGAAGGGCCTCAATACCGTCGATCGATAGGGCGCGAATGAGGGGGGTGTTGAATAGGAGGAATAGGATCGGCGATATGGGGGACCCCTGGGGGATCCCGGTAGGGGTTAAAGTAAGGTTGCTGAGATATCCGGGGAGCTGCAGCCTTGTCGATCGGTTCGATAGGAAAGACTTGAGCCAGCCGGCAAAGAAGCCGAGCCCTATCATACGTAGATTGTGGAGGATGCACCCTATGCCTATAAGTGAAGATACTTGCCATTCAATAGCGCATGGATTAAATCAGAAAACACAGCTACCTAATAGAATGACCAATAAGCCAAAACGACATCCACAAACGATCTCGCAGCACCAAGAACATTGCTCAAGATATTTGGCACTGTGGTGGTTTGTGTCTTGAGCAATAAAAGCAGCCCCAGAAATCCGTACGTTTTCGGGCTTGTCATCACAGCCCAGCGTTTCATACGGTGTATAATCCACCAGCGCGAATTGGGTCTTTTGAGAAAAGTGTTCCAATGTGGCTGCAGTGATTCCCTCCAAAACGTTGATGCATAGCCAGGCCATGAGGCAGAGTTCCGTCCGTTGCTGTTGATGTACCAATTTGAACATCCCGCCTCAAAGACCCCGCCTCGCAATTGGGCGTGTATGTGGTTCACCCATTGGTTCTCGACGGTTTGTTTCACCTCAAGTGTCGATATGCGATGATCAATCAAAGGAATAATCAACGTTCTGGCGATATAAGCGACCTGGACCTCTACTGCAAAGAGTACAGAGTTATGGGCCGGGAATGTGTTTGGTCCAAATCTGTTTGATCATTAGAGCAGATTTTCATCCATATGTGGAAGTCAATTACTAACAAGGTTGCAAAATTGGGAAACCCATGTACATATGTCCCCATGTATGCTTGAGCCCCTCGATTCTCCTTCCATTGCTGCGCCAGACTACGGCCATCTCTTCCGTAGACCTGCATTGGAACTAGGAACTCTTGAACTTCAAAGCCTGTTGCGAGGACAATGACATCAAACTCAGTTCTCATACCATCTGTGCTAGTAATGCCTGTCTGGTCGACCGACTCGATCCCATGGGGCACTAGTTCGACCGTGGGGCTGTGAAGAGTCTCGAGATAATCAGGATCAAAGATTCGGCGCTTGCAACCTACAGCCAGTTAACAAATGTCTCCAAAGTATCAAGAATGCAAACATACCTAGTGGAAAGTCCGGAACAAGGAAATGGTGATATTTCTTAGGAGCCGTCGAGAATATATATTCCCGTGCATGGTCTTCTGCTTTAGCGCGTAGCTTTGAAGCTTCCACTCCTGGCCCATACGCTGCTACCACTTTGTCACTAGCGAGGAACACGCGAAGCCTGATGAAACGCTCCAAGAGGGGAATATACCTGAAAAACCACTTTTCCAGTGACGTGAAGCTTCGATTCGGACGCTCGTGATACCACTGTGGGCTCCGGGCATATTGTTTTACAAATGAGGCCTCTTTAGCAACCTCAGGGACCACTTGCACCGCACTGCATCCGTTGCCTATGATTGCCATCCGCTTTCCTCGATAGTCATAGCTGTGATTCCACCGGGCTGTATGAAACACCTCGCCATGAAAGGTTTCCAATCCTGGAAATCTGACATCTCGGGGTTTGGATATACCCCCAACTGCGGAAATGAAGGCCTTAGAGGTTCTCGTGTATTCGATGTTGGTCAAAAGGTCTCGAAGGCGGACTTCCCAGAATCCCTTTTCATTCCAACTTGAAGAAACACATTCGATGCTAAAGTGCATGTGCTTGCGCAAGTCGAATTTGTCCACAGTTGACTCCATGTCTAATTTTTACCCTGTGTTAAAATAGCGTTTGGGGGAAAATTTGGAAACGCATTGTTACTCACATTGTAAGATTTCTGACCCTCCACACAGCTCCTTAGACCAGTTGGGATTCTGGTTGAAAGAGAAAGAATACAAAATTGTAGGCACGTCGCATCCTCTAACAAATAAGTAATTTTTTGGGCTCTGTGGTCGCGGACTGTTTACTCACACTCCCGGATATGTATTTGATCTCCATACACCTCCCGGTCCTTCCATCTTTTCGTATATCTGAACACAGTTAGACTGTTTGTCTCTGATCTTTGGAATTGGGTTTTAGGCAAGGCTCTTACCGTGAAGTCATTTAATCCCACCTTGTGTTTCAAAGTATGTGCCAGCGCAATGCTAGAAGGGCCAGCACCAACGATGATGACTTCTGCATCCAACATCTTCGGGGATTGAAGTGTAGAACACCGGTATATTTTGAAAGGGCGTGAAAGTATTTTGAAAGCAGAAACCGATATCACGGCAACAGTATGGCTTTTAAGTACCGTCCAATACTAGTCACCATAGCATACACTCCAATCAGAATTTAGCTAATAGGTATAGCTATTCATTCTTGCTGTCTTACGACTAGTGGTCAGGTGGGAGTTTGACTGCCTTCAACATTGCTCCCCACAACACAAAGCCCCAGGTCCTATAGTGGTGAGGTCAGAAATCACGACGTCGCGTCAACTTCCTCATTTGGATGATACTGTTGCTCTCAAGATACCAAAGGTCTTTCCAGCTGTGCGTTCCGCGCAGCTGTGACGATCGCCGAGGCCTATTCCAGCTTTCAGCCAGACTTCATGGTATCCACTGTCATAAGCACACTGCGGTAGTTCAACCTTGCTAGGGGATCCACCGTCACTCCTCATGGTATTCGGGAAGTGGCCGGAACGAATAACCATATTGGTAAAAAGTTGATTTTTACCCGATAACCTCTGCCCAATTCTCGCTAAATATGCTGACAGAATTGAAGTTCACTGAACGACGCCAATCATGTCCGAATGCAGGCATCGATTCGAAGTGGCAGAAACTGTAACGAACCATTGACTTTTACTTCAATCCTTTGTCGCCCTTTCCAGACCGTTTCGCGGCTATGATTAATCCCAACTTTTGATTATTTCTAGCATCCTTCTAAAGATAGAAATATTTCGAATTTTTGGGCCAAATTTAGCTGCCATTTGTGACCACTCACTGGGACACAGTATATGATAGCGACATGGCTGCATTGCCTACTCAATCGGGAGTGAAATGCTTGAATTCTCTATGGAAAAGGGGTTGAGCGCTATTGCCAAGCCGCCATATAGGGAAATAAAATTGCCAATGTATCTTTTCAGTGAGTAAAACGTAGAATGGCTTAATAGATACGTTGTTCCAGTAAGAAAAATTAATTAGAATGAATCTCAGATGCAAGGGTCCCTTTTTTCTGCTGAAAACATTGCGGCCATTGTCACTAGTTACCCCCCCCCAATGACACTGAACTATATGGAGTTATTTTTGAGATAACATGTAGTGAGCATATTGAAGACGCATGGAGCAACATGGATTCCTGTAGTCTTCATTCCTGCTCATCACTTCTTGAGCAAGTTTACTTGAATTCCCGAGCAACAGTAGCAACCACCTCATCAAAGTGCTTGTAAAAATCTGCGTCATCTCTGGTGGGCTTCCATCCCAGCTTTCTGCTCAAATCTGCACGTGATCTTGCACTTTGATAATGTCAGCAACTAATCGAACCTCGTTGCAGATTGAGAGATAAATAACTTACTTGCTGGCCAACACAATCTCTGCAAGATCTTCACTTCCTCCAACAATCGGGGCTGCCTCTGCGAGATCAATTTTTATAACCTCCCTGGTGGAGGACAAGCCTCGAGTGAAACAGGCATCTGAGATTCCACGAGATACATCCAGCCAGGTATGCTCTCCTGTCTCGGCAAAAAATATGCCTTTCCGCCCATGTGGGGGACCCTGGCGACCAGCTAAGATACCTTCAAGAATCAGAGTGTACAATGGGGCGAGATCAAGAATGTGGACGTGGTTCCAGATTCCATTCCCATTGCCGATCACAATTGCCTGTTTTCTCTTGATAGCCTCGCGCACGAGGATGGGGACCTGTTGAGATATTGTGGCGACAGGGCCACTGCCTTCGCCATAGATAGTTGGCGGAACAACAATGTAAGTTGGAACGTCAAGTTTCTCCCCGGTTTGAATCACAACAATATCGGTGATACGTTGACTGTATGGACTCCGGCTCTTCTCGTACTCATAGATATCATCAGTTGCATCAGAGTAGACGCCAAGGTCAACCTTCTTTCCAGAAATGGGTTGATCGCCGAGAATCGAGGTTCCTGAAGTATGGATGTAGTGAACCGCACGGCCAGTGCGCTGCTTTCTTTCCGCAAGGCCCTGGATAATGGCCGAAGCTGACTTATCATGACTAGCAGATGCCGCATTGACGACGATATCATGTTCACTCGCACCCTCCTTGATGGTGTCCAAGTCATCTAACCCCTTGAACAAAATAGGTTTGACGGCTCGGGCATTGAGCGTTGAGACATGTTCTGCATTGCGAACCAGTGCAGAAATAGAATAATTGGATGCATTCGTCGAATTCTGCAAGTCCGTAAGAATGCTTCCGCCGCTATGATATTATCAGCATCTTCGCAATCACGCAGCAATGGGATTCCGGTTACATATAGCCCGTAGTTCCAAGGATCAAGATCTTTGTTTGAGACATTGCAAACGGGATGGAGGTTTGGATCGAAAACTGAGTAACTTTATTGAAAGTCGAAGAAGAAATTCTATGGCCACCGGTTACGAAGTACTTGGTAAATAGTGGTTCGAATGGATCATCTTAGCTAGAAGCAGAGCAGCACTGATTTTATATTGCTCGCTTGCTTATAAATCAAACGTAATTCGCTTTCCATGGGCTCCAACCTAGGAAGGTCGTGCCGTCGGATTAATAATAGGACAACGTAACCCATAAACGAGTGACGCATGAAAGCCAGTGACGCACCCACCTAGCTATTGATGCATGTGAACTAATATCATTCAATAACCAACGATTATATATAATGAATACTATTCACATACTAATAAGGGCATTTCTTGTACCCTATATTCCAGTAATTTGAACACCTCGGTGGCGCCCTCCGATTGACCAAATTCACTGCCGAACCAGGCCCTGTATCCGCCACTATTCCTACTTCCACACTATTAATTTCCTGCTGTATACGCTTTCGCTTCTGGTTGGCATTCTAAGCACATAATCGCTCCTTCTCGTTCGCGAGTAGTGCTCCGGTATGTATAGGAGGACGCAGTAGGGAAACCAAGCTTATCAATATGGCTGACGTCATACCGAAGCTTTGTTTGAATGATCTGCCCGTGGGCACGTTTAATAACCGCAAAATAATGAATATGGAGAGATTAAAGAAGATGTCATAAATGCGGTGGCATACAAATTGGTATAACCATATTTTCTTTGCATATACCATCAAACTGAGTAGTAAAGTGGCTTCCATAGCAATCCATAACTAGTAGTCGCCATTTTCCGATTGTACGATCTTTTGTAAGCGGTAAGGAATGGGTTTAAAGGCATCGGATGTCTATTGAACCCGTAGTCCATCCATTCTCCTGATTTCAAGTCACCAATCTCTTAGAATAATAGAATACGAGCTATGGTTTAATTGATTCGCTTTGAATATAGTAATATACCAATTTATGTACTGCCAACTGACTGCGTATCACGCTCGCCACGCTTGACAAGTAGTAAATTCGCCATTTCTCACACTAGATCCTGCTGAGGCGCGATTCCACGATAAAACATAGACTGTATCAATTTTCCAAGCGATTCCTCTTCCAACTTTGTCAATTTATGTTTGCGCGTGAAGTAGGTCGATTTAAAACGCCTCGGCGGCTGCACAGAGAATAGCCTCAGGAACGTTGAATCGCCGCGCTGCCTAGTGATTAGAAGGAATTTCGGCATTGTTTCAAACCTTGTATAGCAAGTGGAATTTTTCTCTCTTGATTGCCAGCATTCTGGCCAGAAATAGTGCGTTTTGGTGGCATGGTGAGTGGTTGAACATACTAGGATACATCATACGTGTAGGTGAAGTCACTCGTGTACATGTTACGTTAACTACGAAATAGGAATTGGTCAGCAGTTCTGTAGCGGAGTAGTTGATAACTATCAGGTGATCTGACACTTACTACTTTTGGAGACTCGTGTCGATGTCTCGATATAGTAAACAAGCTGCTGCTGAGAGCAGTGGAATTTGTGGAGCCATGTGGGCCTATGACCCACAGAGTTTCGGGACCCTACGTGTGGTTGCAGATGACCTGAGGTCAACTTTTTGCTCGTGCGGGACAACTCTGCTTACTTAATAGCCTTGGCAGCCATGTAGTTAATCTACACCTGATCTTTACCAACTTTCCGCCCGCATGACCTCTTTCAAAACAATTACTAACTACTTGTTAACTAACTACCGTACCACCACCCTAAGAGTTACTCTATTGCTGCTCTATCCGAAGGCGAGATCATTACTACTTACGCGTTTAATAAGTGATAGCTTTATTAATAACTGTTAATTACTTGTGGAATGGTATTGCCTGTGGCTTTGTAAGATCAATACGATACCAGTTATGGAGGATCAAAATGCACCCGAATGAAAAATATATGAGGCCTTTGGCATGAATGTTCCAGCTAGATACTTTCTAAGCACGTGCAAACTAGTTACAAACTATTTAGTTTATGTTCCTGAAGTTCTTGTATCTGTATCCTCCTTTTTTTAAGATCAAGCTCTAACTTCTTGTTTTGAAGTTGTTGCAGGCGAATATCCTCTTGTTTCTTAAGGTTGGCTCTCTTCTGTTGAATCTCCAGTTCAAAATTCTCTAGCTCAAGCTCTTGACGTCTCTGTTTAACATTTAAAACATTTGTTGAAATAGCATATCGAAGATTACCAGACCTTATCGACCTAATATCTTGATAAGCACTTATAAACTGCTTTAAAACCACTTGCAAAGTACTAGACAGACTTACTCATTACCGCCAGTTTTTGAGGAGTTTTGAGACCTTGATCTTGTATTTCCTTGCTGCATTAGTAAAGCTAATTCACCTTCGGTCAAAGAAGATAAGGCAGACCTTTAGCGTTTTCGACTTCCTAAAGGTAACTAAGTAGTTAGCAAATAGTTAGTAAGCATTTCTAGTTCTAGAGCAGTTTTCTTATACGTACTTTCCCGACTCATATGCCGAACATAATTAGCTTCCATATTAGAAATTCGATATAAATGATGAATATTAAACTCCTGGAAGTTGTTATACTGTAGAATATCATCCCTATCTAGTTTCGCAGAACTAGAATATATTAGTATTCTTCCTAACCAGTTTACAAGCGAATAATAAGTACTCAGAAACTTACTTTTTAATTCCTTGAACCAAAGTTAAATACTTGCTAGATGTATATGACTTCTGATGAGACTGCTCAACAGCATTTGTATAATTTCGCAGTATGGCAAAGTAATAAGGCTGAATCTTAGAGTATACTTTATTTAATTCTGCCTTAATTACTGCACCTTTAGTTTAGATTGTCCAGTTCTGGACATTAACACTCTCATACTCTGAATCAGTTAGTAATCAGTTATCAAACAGTAGATAAATAATTGTATACTTATTAAAAGATCCAATAAACAGTTATAAGTATCCTTTGATTTACAATCATTGAATTGGGAGCTTCCAATAGTAGTTCAGATAGATTCTGTGAATTAAAGAGCCCTCATATCCCAACACCATGTCCTAACAGTATTTATGATAGCTCTAGGAATTATGCCAATTGTTCACGCACTATGGAACTACCTATCTTTCCCATATCGCCCAGCATGTAGGCCACCTGTGATCATAATATCGGTACCAGATATATAAGACGACGATTCGGTCAAGAGAAATGTAACAGCCCCTATTAAATCTCGAGTCTCCCCTATACGACCAAGAGGAGGCTCATAGCTGAAGCGAGAGACAAGCTCTGGGTTCTCAGTGGCTACCTTTCCAGTCATGCTTGTTCTGATATATCTATGGCATGGGGAGATTGGTTAGTATGATGCGATGGGATGTCTATATGAATTCGCGACATACCCGGGAGAAATAGTATTGACTCGTATACCCGCTGGTCCAAGTTCCACCGTGAGAGCGTGCGATAATGCTTTAACAGCACCTTTGGATGCGGTGTATGCGGATATTGGCAGTGCAGGTGAGCTAAGGTGCGCTGCTACTGAAGCAACCATTACAATGCTGCCTCCACTGCCTTGTAATTTCATTTGCTTTGCTGCAAGTTGGGCCGTCATGAAAGTTCCGACAACCTAAATAATTATAACTTCGTCAGCACCATATATACGGCAAAATTACATTGTGGAGGAGTTCCGACGTTAATCATTTGCGTCTTCACCACATCCTCCCACTTATAGTCTAGGAATTCTGCCATCATCATGACTCCAGCAGCCGTCACACTTGACGACATGGACCCGTTAGTAGGTTTCTGGGTGTGGAAGTAATCAAAGATATGCTACTGACCAACCATCAATGTGACCAAAATCATGGACAACCTCATTGAATGTCTGCTCAAGCTTCTCCTTGTCGCTGACGTCGGTCCTGATTCATGGGTCAGTTATCTTGTGGTAGCAAAAGTTTCGTTGCGAATATTCACATACAAATAATACTTCGCCGTTATCCCGAGGGATTTTTCAAGCTGTACAAGCTCGCAAGGTGTATTTTCTGCTATGTCCAAAACAGCAACGTCACCTCCAGCCTCAGCAATGCCTCGGGCCAAGTCAAGCCCTATACCATTCGCACCCCCTGAGAATTAGTGTCAGCGTACCATGCAATTGAGGGATACGGAGGCAAAGCAGTGAGACAAAACCTGTAACAACAATGACCTTGCCGCTGAGGCATGATGAAGCAACATCCGATCTATGAGTGTTGTCCAGCAGACAAGGTAAGTAATCTTGAGACAGCATTGGAGTAGACATTGTTCTGTTGATCACATAGACTTATGAATAATGGAAAACAAGTTTTGCGGTTAGTACAGCAAGTTCTTAGGCCTGGAATTAATAGCAAACGACGTCAAACGTGGGTATATATAGAAACGAGGGAACGTTCAACATCGAGTAAAGTCAATGAATATGTGAACGCACGGGTGTGTACAGTACAGAACACCTATCTATGCCATGCTACAGTACCAAGGGCGCTTAATCCCAAGCAGAGACACAAAACCTGAATAGGAAAGAAAGGTCGATCGGTAGAAACACAGCCAATCGAGAAATCTCAGCGAGGTGCAGGCCACTGCTCCGTCACCAGTTCCCCCACTACACTGTATAATTGAATGATGTAGTTGCTTGAAAATTTGCGAAGGGTCCTTAAGCTGTAAAATACCGCACGGCTAGTCTCTGAAAAGGCGATAATATCTGATCTCTTCGGAACATATTACGATATACCCGAAACTAGTCTAGCTATGCTTAGCTTCTGCCATTGTATTGGATCCTCTGAACTGATGGTATTGTCCTGTCACCTTGATCACTGGGTCATGGCCCACATAAATCCACAACAATACAACTACCACACACGTGCTACAAGACATTGGAGCTTTCTGCGGCAAGCTTTCTCCATATGGTAAGAATCGCGACCACCCTAAACAGGTATCGAACCCAATGGGGTAAAGATTCAAATTTCAAACACGAGGATATGTCCGGGCAAACTTGGGCAAGGAAACTCGTAACTCATCTGTGGTCTTTTGGGAACGACGCGTGAAGGCCCCACGGGAGGGCTTTTCTATAAATGCGAAAGTCTCCCGCCTTAAATATGTCTGGAGCATCGATGATAGGAAGGTCGCGATATTGTGCTGACGTGCCAGTTCGATAAATTGTCATTCAAAACCGATCCAAGGGTTCGAAGCAAACACTATCAATGGCGAGCGATCAGACGCACGCACTTGTTGTCGGAGCGTCTGGAATCACAGGGTGGGGTCTGCTGTAAAGTCTATTGTGCTATCCGACTCCAGAATACTGGACCAGCATAACCGGACTTACTAGTCGGCCTATGGACAAGGCGCAAGCGTTGCTTCCCAATGAGGAACGCCTGCACCTGATATCGGGTCTCGACTTGAGTACTGCTGACACTGGGGCTGTGGCCGCATTCCTCAAGTCGATCCCACAAGCTGAACTTGTGAGCTCACAAACAACCATTTGATAACCACCACTGACCTGTACTATGAGTTAGATCTCGCATGTATATTCGCAGCGTATTCTGTCAAAGACTGTCTGGATCTGCAAGATATCAAACGCCTCAATACTAGGCTTCTCTCGAACTTGCTCGACGCTGTCGATATTTGCTGCCCCCGTCTTCAATTCATTACGCTTCAGACTGGGGGCAAGTATTACGGCGTTCAGTTTCCGAACGAGGTTAACCTTGTTACCCCTTTCAAGGAAAGCGTTTCTCGAATTCCGGAGCCGTTTGCGAACGACATCTTCTACTATGCGCAAATCGACTTGATGAACGAACGAAACAAGGGAAAGTCTTGGAAATGGGCTGATATCCGACCCGACGCTATCGTTGGATTTGTGCCACAGAACAATGCCTTGGGAATAGCTCAGGCCCTTGCGGTATTCCTCTCGCTCTACCGATATGTGCATGGTGATGGGGCGAAGGTGCCATTCCCGGGTGACTCGGCGAGCTTCAAAGCTAAGCACACCGATACAAGCCAGGAAATTTTGGCCCGGTTCACGATATTTGTCAATTTGGGCCCTGAAAAAAGGAACGGACGCGCATACAACATTGGCAACTCAGATAAATATGTATCGTGGGAAACCAAATGGAGTGGTATATGCGAGTATTTCGGGCTCAAGGGTGAACCTCCACTGCATGAACACCCTTTGAGTGTATCTCGTTGGATACAAGAGCACCATACCCAGTGTTCACGATGGGTTAAAGAGTTCAAATTGAAGCAGGGGGCATTTGAGGGCTCGAGTTGGGAGTTCTTAGAAGCGCTGGTAAGGTCATTCTTTGATCCAATGAATTCCAGAGGATTCAAACCCGCGCAGCTGTTCTTATCAGTGGCGCGTTTCGCAACACGGCCTCGGCCGCGCTAGGGGTAGAGCTTTACCTCCCCCCTATGCGAATACAGATGCAACAAACCATTCAGGAGACGGCCATTCGGATCCAAACCGGGCCGGCCATGGCCTGCCCCCGGGGGCTGCGCTGGGAGAGGTCGAAGGAGGCATTCAAGGCCTCCGGATACTCTCCGATGGAGGCGCTGAAGTGGAAGAAAACGGGTCCGCTATATGCATACGGCGGCAGACAGGAGGAGTGGGAGACCAGACGGGCTCATGTGCTGGCCCCGTGGGAGTTGCCCCTAAGGTATATCATTGAGGGGGCAGAGGAGGCAGTTCAGACCCACAATACAGTCTGCCGCGAGGACCGGCAGATCTAGTATACAGATGGAAACGGTTATCAGGGGATGATCGGAGCCGCCGCGGTCTCTATTCGAGCAAGTAGGACCGCCAGGAAGTACCTAGGAACGGAACTGGACTCTACGGTCTACGTGGGGGAGTTGGAAGGGGCCCGAATGGCCCTGGATCGGGCGAAACCTACCCCAATTACGGTCTTCTCAGATAGTCAGGCAGCTATTCAAGCCGTGCGCAACCCTGGCCGGCCATCGGGCCAGTACGCACTACGGACTATCTACGGGAGAATTAGGGCCCTGCGGAGCGAGAGCCTGGAAGATACTGAACTGCGTTAGATTCCCGCTCACATCGGGGTAGAAGGAAACGAAAAGGCAGCTAAGGCAGCTAAGAAGGCTGCGATAAAAGGATTTAAACTAAACTTATTAAAATTACGGGATCGACTGATTATATAGCTTGTAACTGTAGTTAAAAGAGATATCCGTTAACGCTTGCGTACAGAATAAACAAAGCAGTAGAAAAGGCAGAAAGTAAGCAGGCCAACAAGACAACTACTTTCTAAATCAGACAAAAAGAATTTACGGCTTTACGAGTATCTCAGTAAGCTACATATCTCGATTATTATTCAGATGCGCACTATAAGGATAGGATTAAGGTATTTTTTTTATAAGATTAAACAGGTCGACTCCGACTGATGTACCTGTAACCTAGGGTCTCAGATATCTAAGTACATTCTTCTAGATTGCTTGTTACACACGGCCGGCCGGAGTATAATAATAGATCATTTTAATCAGATAGAGAGACTGCGTAAATGTATACAGGATTATAACGCAGTTATAATATACCTGCAGGCGATCCGTTACGTTACTGAATTTATACAACAAAATAAGTCTCTTTTAATAATTCCGATTCGCTCAACTGGACGAGAATGACGAGGGGGTTCCAGAACTTACCAACCTGCTAGAAAGACTTAAACTAGGCGAGGAAAATGATAGTGACATAAAACTTTAGAGGGCGGCCTGGGTCAGGCCGCTACCAGTGACGTATACTACTTACGAATTACTTATATAAAACGAGGCAGAAGGAGAGACAGTGTCAAAAGACGCAATAAACTGCAGCAGGCGAGTGGCAGTCGGCTTAATTGCGTTACTTACTGATTTATCTGTTGCGTTTGTAGGTTTATATGGCGTAAGGGCTCGAGATTCTGCTTCATTCGGCGAAACGCCTGCATAACCTGTCGTTTCAATAGATAGGCTTCATCAGGTTAATAGAATTTTGATTGATTGATTGATTGGTTGGCATAGGGTGCATGATATGTTCCGCAAATTCTTTGTTTCTCTCACCTAGCTTGTGCTACAGTATCTACAATTGTGTCATTCATAGGACAGAACCAGCAAATTAAGTCATTCCAAAGCTACATAGCTCAACATGTGTAGAGGCAGCTTGAGCTGCCCAGATGTACTCTAGGCTACGTTTTATATAGAGTATTACTCCATTCATTTGCATTCTCCTTATGGCTTAGGCCTCGTACAGCTCGGACCGATCGAACTCCACCATCCCTCTGAGCTTAACCACTTCATAATTTTCTGGGTATCTCCTGTTTAGGATTTGAAATAATACATCCGACACAATTCTACATTATCCATCTAGTGGGCCTTCTGCATAGATATCCATTCTGCTAATAGGATTTAGAAAAGAAAGAGAATTGAGATGGTCTGATTAGTAGGTCAAGGATAGGAAGAACGTGCCGTAACAAAGTGCTCAAAGATCTTTTCCACATATTCGAATGGAGACATACTGATGGTAACATTAGTCTTAGTTCATTCCCATCACTAGACTGGAATACAATATGCCTTTCACTGATATTTCACAAGAGATATCTGCTATTGAACGTCATACTAACGCCAATGACTGCCGAATTTCGGTAGTCTCTGGCCCACTAATTCCCAAAAGCACGCGAAAATTGTTGATCCATCAATATCCATGTGGCTGCCCGCGGCGACTTAGAGGTAGCGATATAATTTAGGATTTCCCTGGGCTGCATCTGAAGGTGTTGGGCAGAGAAAAGCAAAGCAAGGAGAACGGACATTCCACGTAGGAAAAGCGTGCAACAGACCAGTCTTTTGCGGAGGGGCACTCTTCTTCACATATCTGTCAAAGATAGCAGCTGCAGAGTCTATAGCAAGATGCTTGCTGAAAAGAACGATATGAAGCTCTCACCGATTAACTAGAAAGTGAGAGTTTTCCCCTTCTGACAGAAAATCACAGCCTCGAGTAACCGCTGCACCCTAGCTTAGACAATTTCAAAATTACAAAGCCCAACGGCTTCCAATCTAGACTCCACCGTCTTGGCCACCTAACAGGAAATACCTGAGAGCCCCTGGAAAGAATCTCAAGATGCGGGTTTCCGGTGCGACGAGGCGCCAATGATGCCCTCATTATCAGGCAGAAACATAGCATTTCCTCTATAGGTTTCGGCGCAGTAAATAAGCAATGTACCCAATCGTCGAACGATTACGTCCCAACATATAGTTAGGCTAAACGCATGTTTATTGGCAGAAAGTCTAATGAAATCCGTGGCCCTGATCGGATCTCAAAGATCTTTACTCGATCGGCGAGCGAGAGGCTGGGTGTAATGAGTGCTGCCGAGAAAGATGGACTCAGCCCCCGCAGTGACAAGGTTACGTTTCTGTTTTCCGATGATTAGGCCTCAACAGAAGACAGTATGGCTTAAATAGATATCCTCCATCCAATACTAAAACAATTTCATTTCAAGCCACTCTTTGCCTACTGTGTCTGATTCCCTCCCCAAGGATACCCCGGCCTGTGCCACGTACGATCCGACAGTTGATCCAGGTAGCTATGGCTATCGAGCCAGCCTGGCTTGAGGTCTGGTCTTTACTGTAGTTTTTGTGATCATTGCTATAGGTCAGGCGTATCACATGTTCCGTACCAGAGCTTTTTGGACTTTTTTCTTCATCATTGGGGCCCTGTTCGAAGTGGTTGGCTAGATCGGCCGCTTGGTGGGATTCTGGTGCCCTTATTCGAGGGATCTTTTCATCATGCAGACAGCAAGCCTAATCACCAGTAAGAAGCTGCCTCCCGATCTGCCTCGTCTTTCTTTGATACACACATGGCCGAATAGCTGTCTCACTGTCCAACAACTGATCACCTTCTCCCCGCGCAGGACCGGGATGGGCTCAAGCAGGAATCCATCTTACCCTCTGGGTTTTGATCAAGAAAATTGGTCGACATGTCTCGCCTTTTCCACCGAAGACATATCTGTCCATCTGTCTTTGTATCGATGTGACTTGCTTGACTACCCAGGCTGTCGGCGGAGGGTTAGCGGGCGCAGCCTATAATAAGAGCACATCTACACAGCCAGGAACAACCACGATGGTTGTCGGCATTATTACTCAGCGTCGGATTTGTAATGTATCGAGGCGTCAAAGAACTCTGCGCGAACCGCCCACTCTTTTAAATGACCAGCGCAACTGTTTTCGCCACTATGATGATGATCATGCGGAATGTTTATCGAGTCATCGAGCTGACAGAAGGCTGGAGGGGCTATCTCATCACGCATGAAAAATATTTCCTTGCGCTGGATGCGTTACCGATGGTTCTGGCGATGGGAATATATGTGGTTTTCAACCCTGGGGCGCAGTTTGAGACTCGGGAGATGACGCAGACGCGAGAGATTGGAGAAAATGACCAAGCTGGGAAGAATCCGTTTCAGAGGTATTTGAATTTATAAGAACTAGAAAGATGACAAGAGGGGTTGTTAGGGATGGATGAGATTATCTTTGATATCACTCTACATTAGCATGAAGCATGTTGAATCTAAAGACTTTCTGCAGGGACCGGGTGTACCGCAGTGGTCAAAGACGATGGAATTAATGGATAGATGCTCTGATCGATACTGAATTGGTTGATTGATTGATTGATGCAAGAAGAATTCAGGTCTTCCATGGTGTTGCCTATCTAAAACGCGTAAACATGATTCCGCTACAGTACATGATCAAAGATATGTTTCGTTCATCATTGAGTATGGCGGACTTTGCAGAGTCACATACGATGCGGGAAATGGCCTCAGAGGAATCTGTATCCACACGAAAGATCAATTGGACTGCTGAGACCAACCATGATCGTCGAACTGGAACGGACGTTCGCGTTCTATACACAGGCGCCACTGAGCACTCTGCTGGGTTTGTCCTCCAGAAAATGATAGAAGATAACCCAATCTCGAAGGTCTACTGTGTAGCAGTGCGCTCGCTGGAAGAGAGCCAAGGCCCCAGAGAACTGGCAATTGAATCGGATAAATTGTTCAGCTTGCGGGAAATCTGTTAGATGATAGCCTCGGATTAACAGAGGATCAACTCGAATTCTTGGCTGAAAACGTGGATGTCATTATTCACAGTGCTGCCAATCGGTCTTTCTGGGATAACTACCAGATCATGAAACAGGTTAACGTGCTTCCTGTGCATACCCTGGTACACTTAGCTGCTCTCCGAAGGATCCCAATTCACTTCATGTCTTCGGTCGCCGTTTATCTGTTCAGCGGGCGCAAAGACGAGGACTATCCCGAAACGCGGGCAATGCATCCTCCACCAACAGGCGGTACGCACGGATACTTGGCCACAAAATGGGCAGCAGAGAAGATCCTCGAGAATGCATCGAGCATGTACGGTTTTCCTGTGTATGTTCACCGGCCTGCCCCCGTGGGTCAAGCCCAGCGGTTGTCAAAGGCGACCGTCTTTGCCGAGTTCATGATGTTTGCTCGAGCACTAAGACTCAATATCCCAAGGAACAGTATTCAAGGAAGTATTGACTTGCTGGATCTGTCACGATTTACTGGCGATCTACTTGAGTCTATGATCAGTAATACCGAAGAAAAAGATGACTCTCATCTAGTGCGGTATATCCATCATCGTGCTGATATGAAATTGCATCTGGATGAATGGCAGGAATACGTGGGCGAACATCTCGAGGAGCTGGATATAGACGAAACAGACACACATAACGCAACGCAGTGGATTTCCAAGGCCAAAGAAATTGGGTTCCATTTCTTGAGCAGGAATGGATGCGCGGTGTGTATTCCTATCTAGGCCTGCAGCGCTCAGCTGTAGGCATTGTGCGATGAACTAAGCCTAATCGGGACATGGAGGTGAGGGTGCCTGGAGTCATTCCCAACACCATTATATGCTGGCAGCACAGAACTTCGATTTGACAGGTGAAAGAGAGGAGTTGTATATTTGTTGTTTGTACCATTAACCTCGAAGAATGTTTTTTGCACATCATCACATGTACTGTAGGCTTAATATGATTTAATTCACTCATAATGCTATTCATTGTATCATCATCCTGTAGTTATGGGTGCACCGTTGTTGATATGAATGTTTAGGATGCACTCTGCCAAATCTTCCACACACTCATTCTATGCATGCAACGATATAGAATGGTTTCTTTCTTTTTAAATCAATCGGCAGAAGTACCAAACACCCAAAATCTTCATTATCACCACGGTCAACATCCAACTGCCCAGGTCCTAAGCCTGCAACTTCTCGTCTGTCATAGCTGTTCTCGATTCTATAGTTGTCTCATATTTCCGCCACGCCCGCATGGGAATCCCTGCATCATACATCTCATCGATCTCCGCAAACGTTCTTCCACGGGTCTCAGGCATGAAGAAGTACGCAAAGACAAGGACCCCAGCCATGCAGCCCGCAAAGACGAGATAGGTCTTGGAGCCCAGGTTCGCAGCATCTGCGGAGGTGAGTTGAGGTACGGCTAAGGTTGTGATCACAGCCGTTGTCTGGGCACACATTATAGTGTATGCCATCGTGTGGTTTCGTAACTTGGCGGTGGCGATCTCAGAGGGCATGAGGTTGGATAGGGAGTAGAAGGATGCTGCCCAGAAGAAGTTGAAGATAAATGATAAGGCAGCGATACCCATTGTTGCGCTTTTATTCCCCGTGTCGAATGCGAGACCACCTGCGATACAGTTGATTATGAACAGAGCGGACATTCCGGTGAAGGCTGTTGGCCTGCGGCCTGCGCGATCGATGACAAAAGGGGCTGCTATGGTGCCGGCCAGGGTACAGCAGGATGAGATCACGGTTAAAGTGAAAGCGTCTCCGACACCGATCTCGGTTAGGAAAACTGTGGCGTAGGTGGTTGAGAGAATGATGCCTGAGACCTGGTTCAAGGAGTAGAATGACCCGGCTGTGAGCGTGCGTTTGAGGTTCTGCCGGTTGAAGATCTCCCAGAACTTCACGTTGGCACTGAGCTTACGCTCATTGTCCTCGCACATTTTCATGACTTGGAGCTCGCGAGTCACTTCTGCATCGCTGAACCCACGCAGCTTCCGCAAGTTACTGTAGGCTTGCTCCATCCTGTCTTTGCTGACGAGCCATTGGGGACTTTCGGGGAGAGGAAGAGTCAACACCAACAGGATCGCAGGCAAGACACATTGCACGATGAGCGGGATCATATAGGATCGATGGCCTCCGAGCTGCTCGGTACGCCAAACAATGGTTGTTCCCACGACACCAGCAATGAGAGACAGAATGTTTATCGACGTGACGCTTCTACCTCGCATGGCTGGAGGAACTACCTCGGACATGTACAGTGGTGATGTAGCATTGGCAAGCCCCATAGCGATAGCATTTATGAAGCGTCCAGCGACGAAGGCTCCAAGGTTCGGGGCAAGGACCTGAAGAATACCACCACCAATTGACAGTATGTATGCGGCCAGCAGGGGGATTTTACGGCCGAATCGTGTATTCAAGGGCGAGGTAAGCATTCCGCCGAGGATGGATCCGACAAGGGGGACTGAGAAGAGGAGGTTTTGGTTTCGAGCACTAAGAACATATTTGCCAGTGACTGCGTTGGGGCCTTGATATTTGTCAACCTGGTTTGTAGCGTTGGCTTGTCAGTAGAGGGCCCTTGTTCCATGATTTCCTAGGCATATAAGTACTCACGAATGGTTCCAGTGCTGCTACAGGCGATATGATTTTGTCGTCGAAGCCAAAGATGAATGAGGCTGCGCCAAACGCCGTACATGCCAGTATCAGATACGAATTGACAGTCTTGCCTGGCTGGTGAACAATGTCCACATGCTGAGTGACTGGTTCTTTATCCTTGGCATCGAGAGATTCCATCCTGCCGATTTCGAAGAAATGAGACATACTGAGGGATATATCACCGCAGTTGTGCGACCACACACTCAGTTTTATAGACTCCTATACTCTCCTTCGCTCTCCCCAACTCCTCAAACCCTACGGCCGGGGCGGAGCATTCCCCCGCAACAACACTGCGGAGGGCCCTTTTCCCCGGATGCCCTCTGTTTCTCCGACGTTGCTCCGAAGAACTCCCATCCAACGTGGTCCTACGCGAAGCCAAGAGGTACCAAGAAAGTATCAGTCTGGATTACGCATCCATAAATTCCATTCCTGACTGCCTAAACAGGAATTTTTGATGTTTCAACCTCATCTCAACCGGCACCGGTTTCCAGAGATTAGCCCCCCTATTTCGCCGAAGTAGCGATTCTTATTATGTCACCACCTCGTGTCCTCGGCACGGAGTATCACCTGGCACGGACACGATAAAACTTGAAAAAGCTGTTGGAGAACGTCCTAGTGCTGCAGATAGCATTCCCAATCTCTCCCTCGCTGCCAACTCGTTGTCACTACTTGCAATATGTCGACCCTTATCCATTACCCCCAAGCAACGGGCCTTCATGACAGTGACGCGCAAATCACCAATCAAGGACCCGAACTGAAGAGTGGCAAAGACGAGTCACCCCTTTCGACCTCCCAATGGAGTCCCCAGTTCCATCTCAAGGCACCCCACGGCTGGCTCAACGACCCCTGTGGTCTCGGATATGATCCCTCCACCGGAACCTACCGTGTTGCTTTCCAATGGAACCCACGGGGTAATGACTGGGGTAATGTCTCCTGGGGTTACGCAACATCAAAAGACTTGGTCGCCTGGAAGGCATTCCCATTGCCGTGTCTAGTTCCTTCCACTCCCTATGACCAGTGCGGTGTATTTACTGGGTGTCTTCGTGCTACCGATATCGATGGACAGGATGGTGCACTCACCAGTATCTATACATCCGTTTCGTCGCTTCCCATTCATTACACCTTGCCTTATAAGCGAGGATGCGAGTCCCTCAGCTTGGCCGTCTCGCGCGATGGAGTGCACTGGGAACGTCAAAGCTGTAATCCTATCCTTTCTGGGCCCCCTCCCGACATAGATGTCACTGGTTGGAGGGATCCATATGTTGGACCTTGGCCTTCACTGCAGGAGGCTATAGGCCTCCCCCCTTCGCAGCTATTCGGTTTCATTTCTGGAGGTATCAAAGACGAAACACCGACGGTCTTTGTCTATACCGTCAACCGCACCGATCTCCGTGACTGGAAGTATATCGGACACCTGGCCAACGTGGGGAACAATTTCTGCCCATCTCGCTGGTCTGGCGACTTTGGGGTTAACTGGGAAGTCACGAATCTCGTTTCTCTCTCCGATGACCAAGGTGTAACCCGCGACTTTCTCATTGCAGGAACGGAAGGATGTCTCCACTTTGACGATGCAGCCGCCCAAATGAACCAGACCAGAGCTTTTGAGAAGAGGACTCCCCGTCAGCAGTTGTGGATGTCCGTCACAACAGATCAGGAAGCCAAACGAGAAAACTCGAAGCCACTGGCACAGTACTCCTTTGCCGGTGTATTTGACCACGGGTGCTTTTATGCTGCCAATTCGTTCTTCGACCCTATGACTTCCCAGCACGTTGTCTTTGGTTGGGTCACGGAGGATGACCTCCCTGACCATCTGCGACATGCGCAAGGATGGAGCGGAATGATATCACTGCCGCGGGTGCTGAAAATGGTCACGCTTGACAATGTGACCAAGGCTCGTCACTCGGCCCTGGATTCTATTACTTCCATCGAGACCCAACCCAACGAAACAGGCTCATACACCATCCGGACATTAGGCATCCAACCTGATCCGCGACTCCAAAAACTACACACCAAAGCATTCAGTGCTGAAGTGCAAGGTCTGAAGCTACACAGCCCCGTCCCGGTCTCGTTACAGACATCAACATGGGAAATCAAAGCCGAATTCACCGTGAACAAGAACTGCAGTTCCGTCGGGTTTGCCGTTGCGCATAGTGCTGGTACGTCTATACTTTCTCCCTCTCCCTCTCCAACCTCCACAGCATAACCCCATCTCTAACCCCTACCCAAGACGCAGCAGCCAAGACAATAGTCTCCTGGTACCCCTCGACCGAAACATTCACCATCACTCGACCCACTCCCGACGATCCTCAAATCAACCACGCTCCTGAAACCGCCCCGCATACCCTCTTCACGTCCAAAGACACGAACGGCGAAGATAGAGAAGAAATGCTTTCTATTCAAGCCTTTTTCGATGGGAGTGTCCTAGAGGTATTCGTGAACGAGCGGACGGTCATCACGACTAGAATATACTCGCTAGCTAAGAGGTGTTTCGGAATGGCTTTCTTTGCGGGGGCTGAGTCGGAGGGCTCAGATTCGTCGCATGATGAGCCTGCGGCTGTTTTGGTGAGGGGCATGGTGTGGGATGGGCTTGCGGTTTGAGTGATTAGGGCGTACCAGCCATATTCTATTATTGATACATATCTTAATGGGAGGAATCAAAAAGCCAATTAATCTTCATTAGTCATATCTGCCCGCAGAATCCTAGTATAAAAGCAATCGTAAAATCCTCCATGTCATCAGATCGAATCTTTGCCCAATCCTCATAAAATCAGGTCAAGTGACTTCGTCGTAAGCACTAGTTGACTTGCCAACTTCAACGCGTTGGAATAAAGTCCTGCGAGTCCTTCTGTTGCTCACTGAAGGATTGGTGGAATGCGGCGATCCCAGCAATGATACCGATTGCCATGAACATGAGCGAGATGAGAGACCAAATAATACCCCAGCAACGAGAAGACCCGCCGTATCTCTGGGCAAACTGACTGGCGTCCGAAGTATTCACTTTGCGAAGGATGAGATCGTCGCACTTTAATAAAAAGTTAGTTTCCACAGAACAGGAAATTCAAGACGACCGAACTTACGATATCCCAGACGCTGTAAAGCGCAGACATAACACCGATAAAAAGCTAAGCATTTGTGAGCTCTCCGATACAACATCCAAAAAGGTCAAGAGGAAAGAGGGAACACATACCACCACCCATCTCAGGGCCTCACCATGCGCGATAAACCAACATGCCACGAGTAACCCGACCGCCAGAAGTACAGTGATGATAGTGAGCCAATCCCGTCGCGCCCACCAGAGCGTGAGCAAGAAGCAGACGCCAAGGACGATACTAGCCACTTTACTAGCGACGATATTAAACCCGGCGAAAATCAGCAGCGCACCGATGATCGACGAGCCCAGATATCCCGCGGGGAGAGTGACGGCGCTGATTCCGCCCTGCATGTGCGTGACGCCGCCCTCGTGCGGATCAAGGGAGATCGACTTGACGCGCCCGCCGGTGCAACATGCCGTGATGGCATGGCCGAATTCATGGAACGCAATGACAAGCATCTGTGTTTGGGGATTAGTTGCGATGCTTATGCTTGTTGGGACGATCTCAAGTATTCTGGCGACTTACCTTGAACGGCCACAGCGACCATCGCACGTATGGCAGGTTCCACAAAAGCGCGATCACCACCACGTAGGCGGCCATTACCCCTAGAGTTACCGCCTGGGTGTGGTTGACGGTCAGATCGCGCTTGGCGACATGAGTGTCTGCTGCCTCTAGGGCTCGTTTTGTCAGCGACTCATAGTAAGGCGCCATGGTGAGATTTCGTGATAAGATTTGTGCAGAAAGCAGAGACAAACCAGGAAGGAATGATATTTATTTGAGTGTGGCTCACATGCGTTGATGCCTACGCGTTCGCCCTGCCGGCCACAGTCAATACTTGCCCCATCGGGCTTAGCTGGAAGTTGCCAAGGGATTAGCATTATTTTTAGCCGGTGGGTACGTGGCTGGGGCCTCTCCGCCACAGCCCTATCTGCCTGCGGTGTCAACGTGCATTTGCCATTTGGGAGTGGTTTCCAGGGTGACAGTCTGAATAGTTGCTTACACTGCCAGTTTGGGCAAAACATTTTCTTTACAACGAATCGCTTCAGCCGAGTGACTTGAATATTTCGAATTATCATAAGGCATAGAGAATAATCATAAAAAGGGAAGAACATTGACTGTATAGAAGTCACGAGAGAACACCTTCGACAGGAAACACCGGTATTCAAGAGAGAGAAAAGCGAATGACGCAACAGGGACAAAATAATTTCCTTTGTTGGAATGAGAACTACATTCCTCCATGACATCAACAACAATCATACAATGTTCATCACCAGAATCCCAAGAACAAATTACCCTCAGGGCCCATTCCAATATGTCATAAACCCCGCCATGGACAGGTACTCCAACGCTCATTCATGCAATCATCAAAGCTCATATGAGAGACAAAAGAAAAGAAAGAAGAAAGTCATACATCGTAAGAGTATATTAACGAAGGTGAACAACACCCACTCACCCCTCAATATCCCCTTTTCTTGCGCGATCCCCCTTCCACACCACCCACCCAAGGGTAATCGCCAATTTCAGCCCCATGGCCAGCCACAAGCTGGCCGACATGTTCGCCACCTTGGACAAGCCGCCCGCCGTCATGGCGCCCAGGAACAGAGCCAAGAAGGCCCCGACCCTACGGTTCCGCTTCGGGTTGGAACGCCACCCACGGGAGTACAGCTTCGGATCCACGAGTAGATCACACAGTAAGGTTGTGAGCACGACAGTGGGGATCTCGTCAAAGGCAAGGATGCGTGAGGCACAGATCTGGCCGCCGGCTTGGAAGGCGAGCAGCGAGATGGGGAGCACCTGCATCCATTCGATCGGGGAGCGAGGGTCTTCGGGCTTAGGGCTAACGACTCCGAGTTGGACGAGCATGGCGGCGGCGAGTATGCAAGCTGTTTGTACGCCGAAGGAGAGGATCATAGTTGAGCGCCGGCGTGGGTTGATTAACCGCGAGACGTGAATGAAGATAAGATTGCTCATTATAAATGTTGTCAGGGCGATGAGGGACTTGGCCCACAGATAAGCTGGATAGGCTGGTTGGCCTGAGGCGCCGAGAGCAATGAAGACCGTATTCCCTGTCTTGGGTTAGCTTGCTGAGGTTGCCCTAAGTAGGTGGGCAGAGAGATAAATATACCGGTCTGCATGCTGGAGAAACTCCCCCAAGCGTTGAAAGACAGTCCATCAACCAGACCACTTACAAAACCGCAGATGACGAGAATGACATCGGTATGCGCGGTGTCGATCTCTGTGCGGAAGTGTCGGGATAAGGTCGAAAGCAATGTGGTGTCTTCGGAGTAGATTCCTTGGTTTCCAGAGAGAGAAACGGTCGTACTTCCTCCTACAGACCACAAGCCCGTTGGATCTTTGGATTCATCGTCCAGACGGGGCATGGAGGGATTGGGGGCTGCCGGCGTGTCCCAGTAGATAAGTTGGTTACTGGGGGGCGGAGCGGGCTGTATCTCTTCACCGGAAGTGGGAGGATGCCGCATAGTTTGTTCTGAGAAGTTTTAATGGAGTATATAGCTGTTCCAATTGGGGCGCTTAAATTGGGGAATATAATTAGTCTGAACGATTGGGTAGAAAAAGTATCTTGAGTAGAAAAAAAATTCGGTGGAGGAAAGGGAGAGATCCGCTCTGCTCGAGGACAAGGCTGCAGGTTTATATCCACGATTCAAACCATCCTCTCCACTCCCAAGAAATTATAGAAAGGTGTGCCAAGACAAGATCCTGTCGCTATCGGCCCAACTATCGCGCGCGGAACGACGGTTCCTCCATCAATGCGGTTCCTTATCAAGAGCATCCATGGCGGACTCGTGCCTGGCGTTACACCGCCGGAAGATGCGTTTCAAATCAACCCATGGCGAAATTGATATGCAGACCGGCACATATCGACAGGTCCAAATGCTACGGTGGATAAACATAGACAACATACCACAGAAGAAGGGGAAAATTGGGAATAAAATCAAAACAGACAGGCTCCGTAGAAAGAGACAATCGGGTACCCCTATCTGTGAGTATTCTGACGCATTGGCATCTCACATCTACCCGACTTTGGATTCATCGCAGAGATGCATCTTGGCACCAGCTTGGCACCACCATCCAAGCGTCACTGCAGTTTTCGTCGCCGGAGCTCCCGCCCTCGGGTCCCGTAAGTAGGGGCAAGATCTCTCGACTCCAATCAGATCGATGAGAACACGGAGGATGGTGACTCGGCAGAACTATCTTGTCCGTCGATCCGTGGGAGATGATGCCAAGATTGACCCTCAGGCATCTTCATTTCCGTGCTCTGGGGTTGGAAGGTTGGAGTTTGGAAACAGAGGATTGCTGACCGGTGGAATTCTTGGGACGTCGTCTTGGCGTGATGACGATTCCGTCTCGGTCAAGATCCTGAGGTGGAGGGATGGTATCATTTTGGCGTCCAGAGCGGCTCCGTTGGCGTGGATTGTGTGGAGTCTGGAGAGAGAAGATCCCTGGGGTGAAGTTGATCAACTCTGTTTGTCCCAGAACTCGGAAGATGAAACATCGTGGCGGACTTTTCATCCAATCGCCCGTCGCTTGTTATACAGTATCTTCATTTAAACCCGGACCGGCGCTTGCTGTAGATTCAAAATAGCACATGACTCACAGAAGATAGGCAGGTTTGAGGTTTTCCACGAGAACATCGCCCCGTCTGGACTCTTCGTGGACGTTGACCGGAAGCCAAGATGATCGGCGTCAGGCAGGAGCCGAACCTCTACTAGTTCACCTAGAATCTGCCGGTAGAAGGACTGGCCAAGGGATGATCCCCAGCGACTAGCGGTCCATAGTCCCTCGCTAGCGAGTCTTGTCTCAAAATCGCAAACAGTGGATGCTGATAACACAGCCTCAAGCTTACCATATGCCGTCTCTCGTCAGTGATCCCTCGCTTGCATTTTCTTTTTGGTGCGCTCAGCCACGCTGGCCAGAATTCAAACCGCAGGGCTTGGCACCTCCTAATCAAGAGAAGAGAAAACGAGGTGTCACTTGAAAACTTTTTTGGCTGACCAGTGATCAACTTGTTGGCGACCACGGTGGCTCTCGGGAGCGTACGGGTCTCGGGAAGGACATCTAGATCGCTGAGACCGTCACTCGAAACTATTGGCGTAGTAAGAAACACAGCCTGCGCTAGGAGGGTTCCGTCTCCGGGATCCATTGGCTTTGTGAGACGAGATAAGCGTCGCTCTGGCCAGCAGGATGGTAAATAATAATAATCATTATTGTAATCATGACTGACAAGGGACTGGACTCCCGCAAAAGCAATCCTCCCTTCCCGCCAAGGCAAATGGCACAGATCATCCCACGCCAAAACATGACCACACTGCGATATTCTGGTCGCATTGTCGGTCTTTGGCTTTTTGTCAATCGTCTAGACCAATGCAAGACTATCAGGCCCTCCACGAGCTGGTCCAATTGATTCTTCGGTCAGTAGGCAGTTACAGACTGGCTTGGCGAGAACTGTCGATAGAACCTTGTTTTTAAGCGCATCCAAGCCGTTGATCCCTGAAGGAACTGCGAAGGAATGAACCGCAGACAAACCTAACTCCTCCTCCGTCCCCGCGGCAAATCATTGGGCACACACGCCGATCTGACTGCACAACTCGCCCAAGATAGTAACTGGATATCAGATCCGCCACTTCTGTCCACGGATCCTGGTTGATGCTTACTCCTGTACGTCACGCAGGGAGAGGCGCCCTTCTCTCTAAAGGCAAATACTCGTCTACGCGTCTAAAGCGTCCCGTCTACCGTGCTGAATACCCTTTTCAGATCTGGGCAGTGGAGCAGAGGAACATGTTGCCTCCTATCGACTTGGCCTGCGGGGGACAAGACCCTGGTCTTGGTGAAACGATTGGCAGCCTGAGCTTTCCTATTGGTCTTATGCCCTGCTAAATAACTGAAATAACCTTGATTTGAATGCATGTTTGGGGTCATCCCGCAATTAGGTCTTGGTATGATGCTGCGGATTCCGCTCATACCCGATATAGCTGTTTCGAATACCATGAAATCTGCTATTTGAAAGATTGTTGCTGCGCATTCTAGGTTGATGCTTGTTCCGCTATAAAACCGTACTTTGCTGCGCCAATAAGAAATAAAGAGATTGTTCGTTGCCAGGAAAAACTGGGTCACGTTATCTGAGCATGATCATTGATCTCATCGTGTTGTAGTTGTGTTTGATAGCCATTGGAAGGCTAGGATACTTGGCGAAAACCACGGATAATAGTTGAGCTGTGCTGTAGATTGTCCATTTATTCTATTTAACTCAAATTGGTACTTATGGGTGTACACTTGCAGGCATTTTCCTAGGCTACATTGATTCTTTAGTTAGCTGCGCTGCGTGAAATGACATTGGGCTGACAATGAAGAGATGGAAGCTTATTGGAGAATCTAGACAGTCCTGAAATGCAATGTGTCTTTCCTGATCCTTCATAATTTCCTGGTGCAATGGTACCTTGGGGGGCAAGAACCCGTTTATGAGGTTGCTACAAATGGCAGTCTGCTTTTGGTATCACCTAGGCATTGCAGGTTCACGCAACAACAACCAAGCGAACGAGACCTGACAGGGCTTACCCTAATCGAAGCGAGTATATCACTTAACATCACACAGAACCTCTCGCACATACATAACCCCATTTCCTTTCACCCTCATACAACATAACTGCTTTGGTTCCCAGTTCTTTATGATGCTTCCATTATTGATTCACGTTGTGCTATGTTTCAGCTTGCTCTAGTAGCCATATTATCTTGTATTCACGAGACCCAATACTCAGTCCAAGATCTAGCCCCTTTACAAGCTTAATCTTCAAAAGTTCGTTTTCCTTATGTTGAGGAAGTTCGATGAGGTTTGTTAGGGTTTTCTTATGTTCCCCGCCCCCGCGTCGCCTACCTAGATATCCCCATATTGAAGTCATCTCTCACCACCACGTCACTTGAATGTATATCTCTCAGTAATTATGTGATGTTAATCCTCATAATTATGATAGCTTATAAGATCCAGTCAGCCTTCCTACGTACACCCTAGCTTAGTGTTATCTCAAATCCTCAAGCACAAATAACAGTGAATATCGATACCCATGTTGACGTATTTCGCATATACTGTCTGCTGAAATTCACGGCCATGAGCCTCGTAGTGACGGAAACACAACTCTTGATACAAGGACTACTTGTCTTTCGTTCAACCCCCTGCCTCCTCTTCCCTTTCCCTCTCTATTTCTCTCTTTCCTCTTCAGTCCGCTTCTTATCCTTCTTTCCCTTCCTTGACAACCCAGTGTATCCTTGTCAGCTCGAAAGCACACACTCACACTACATCTGCTCCCACCTTCTGTGCTTCTACTCAGCCATCATGAGTAGTGAGCCAGAAGTCGGTGGTAGTTACGGCCGAGACTTCCCTCGTGGAAGCCTCCTGCATCAAAAAGTGGGACATGAGCTTGAATGGGGATTCTTCAAGTATCTTTTCACCGGTATCCTTTGGGAGAAACCGGACAACGGCTATGGAGAACGTCAGGGCCTCATGAAAGCGCGAGATATTCTCCTCGGAAAGAATGTCTTTGTCAACGTGAGAATCCTGTAAGTGTGTCCCTGATATGTTCGATGCGTTCAGTTTATAGAACTAACCCTTAGGTGCAGCAAGAACTGTGACCTTGAAGATGAGAAGGTAGTCGCCATGATCGACCGTGCCAACGAGGCTTTCGATTATGAAGTCAATACTTTCCATCAGCTTTATGATACCGGCCGCACTCCTGTTGTCATCACCTCTACTAGGATTCTCCAGGACAATGGTTGGGAGAACCCTGGCGGCTACCTGCACATATACGTGATGGAGGAGTACCCCCTGCTGGGCCTTGACGATGCATTCGACGTCATGTCGGAGGCCAACATCCCCATGCTTGAGAACGAACTTTACTCGTGCTTCGGGTATATATCCCTTCTATCTTCAAAGTGGCGGTTTTATCTTGCTAAATGACGTCCGGACAGCATCTTCTTCCGCCACAGGCTCGCCTATTACGCGGCTGACTACGAATACAAGTATGATGCAGCGCGGAAGATCTTGTAGGCTTACCAATCAACCCATTTTCCTGAAGATGTGAAGCACTAAGGTCTTTCTCATAGGTTTGCGGTCAACATCGAGAACTTTCACTCAGTCCGGGACCTCGACGACCTTGAAGCGGCGGAAAGTTACTTCTCGGGAGTCATTCGCAATCTTCAGCGCACGATTGAAATCAAATCAGCCCGTGCCCTGGAGGCTCGCTCTCGCGCACTCGCGTCTCACAGCATGTTCGAAGGTACCGTGGAGCACTGGGAAGATATCAACGACGAGCACCCTTTGACTGAATTTAACACTCGCTCCTAGTTCGCCCGGTACGCTGCATGCTGCTCTAGAGACCTTGGTTGGCTCGATCGTCAGATCAGCCTCCAAGGACTCTTACCGGTGGGCTGAATCGACCCGATTGTGAGCTGTGGAAACAATACCGATTTGGTGATGGTTTGAAATGGGAAATCTCGGAAGCTTGAACAACTGTATCTCTAAGTCTTCGGTCCCTAGTGGAATTCAAGTCTTCCTTTTATCTGGCTGCTCTGTGGTTGGTGCTATGCTATTAAATGATGTAGACGTTGTTGTACAGCGCTTTTTTGTACCTGCTTTAGTTTCTCCGCTTAACTCCGGCCAACCCCATCATCTCCACATTCTTCATCCTTCATCCTTCATCCCGAGAAGCGATGCAGAGTCCTCACACAATCCATGCACGCAGGACAACCATCCACTAATGACTGTCACCACGCCGCGGCTGGGTCAAAAGCGTCATTTTAAATTCGCCCACGATGGCGGATCTGCCCGATCGTGCGATGTCCCAACAAACCATCCCAGCCGTCGGGAACCCACCCAAAACGCCCTCATGCGTGATGTGCGCAAACAAAAAGGTCAAATGCGATCGCAGGTATCCTTGTTCAGCTTGTGTCAAACGTGGATTCGAATGCGTTTACCAGGCCCCTTTGCCCCCGCGTCGTCGCAAAAGGTGGGCCTCCAGGAATTCTCACGCCTTCATCCGCCCGTGTCCCGCCAGACCAGACACCAGCTCCTCAGGTCCCACAGGGCGCGTAGACTCCCAAGCAGACGCGCTTGATAGCACTCCAGCGACATCGCAGGGCGAGTCGGGAGTGCTGATCACAGGGGCTGGAAGATCGGTCTACATGGACAAGTGAGTGTTCTCTCGGACTATGCTTTGAGGATACGTCGCTAACTAGGAGATAGTAATGTTTGGACAAGTGTTCGTAATGAGGTTTGTTTGTCCGATTTGTTAAGCTTCTACAAGTGCAATACTAACTAGTTGAAGCTCCCTCGAGCAGAAGAAATGTCAGAAAGTGACTCCATTTCCTCCCTTGAAGACGATCAGGATGAAATCTATATGCTGCTGGACTCATCGAAGAAGAAAAGCCTAATCTCACTACACCCCAGCCCATTGCACATATTCAAACTCTGGCAGACCTTTCTCCAGAATGTAAATCCGCTAATCAAACTTTTGCATGCCCCGACCGCTCAGCAACAGATACTCGAGGCCACCGGGGACTTGACAGGCGTCTCGAAAGAGTTCGAAACATTGATGTTCTCCATTTACTGTCTTGCGGTAGTTTCCCTGAACGAGAAAGAGGTTCAAGACTCTTTCGGGGAGCAGAAAACAACTCTTCTTTCGCGATACAGACGGGGTGCTCAGCTTGCGTTGGCAAAAGCAGGCGTCTTACGAACTTCGAGCATGGTGGTATTGCAGGCCTTTCTACTATTCTTGGTATGTTTTGATCAACCACCCGGCGATACTTCGCTCACGTCAGAAAAGCTTGCTATGCGTGCCTTCTCCGACTCCGAATCTGTTTGGTCTCTGTGTGGCGTAGCCATACGAATGGCCCATCGTATCGGTCTCCATCGAGACGGCTCCCAGCACGGTCTATCTGTGTTCGACACCGAAATGCGACGCCGTTTGTGGCTCCAACTGATGATCTTAGACGCTACCACTGCTCAGAGCTCCGGCATCACGGCACAAACCTCTCTGATGAGAGCCGACGTACGACGTCCCTCCAATGTCAACGACAGCGACCTGGACCCGCGCATGACGGAGAGCCCTCGCGAGCATGACGGCGCCACCGAAATGATATTCTGTCTGGTGCGGAATGAATTTGGGGAATGGTTAGAGCGATGGTCCACGGTAAACAAGTTTTCCAATGGGATCTGGGGGTTCCTGAGGTCGCCTTCACTTACGCTGGCCAAGAAGGATGAAGCGATCAATGAACTCAGTGGCGCGCTGGAGTCGAAATTTCTCCGATATTGCGATCGATCCATCCCGTTGCATCTTATGGCGTCAGTCGTCGTCCAGACCATCATTTGCCACATGAGGCTCGCGGCGCATCATCCTCGTCAGTATAGCAACGGGGAGAGCATCGACCAGAAGGAGCGAGACTACATGTTTTCCCTCTGTCTACAGATGGTAGAGAATTCCGTCGCGGCTCAAACAAATGCGGCCATCCAGCAATATGCATGGCATGTAGAAAACCATGTTCCGTGGGACGCCTGTATACACATGCTCTACGAGTTGGGACATCGCGTAAACGACAAGGAAACCGGAAGGGCCTGGTGTCTTCTCGACGAGATCTATCGTTACCACTACTGGCAGATGAAGAACCGATCGAAAAACTCGCTCTATATTGCAATGCGACGACTTCTTATGAAGGCTTGGAGTGCACACACCGAGGAGCGAATCCGTCAGAACAAGTCGACGCTACCCCGTCCTTGGATTATCTCCAAATTGTCCTCAGGTACGAATACGCAAGGAGTCGGTGATTCGCGGATCGCATCTTCTTCTCCACCTAATAATGCAGCGCAAGAAGTGGTTCAGGGGAACTGCGAGCCACCTCAGGACGCGCGATTGGGTGTCACTGAGGCGATCGACTTCGGGGGCGATATTGAAGATCTTGAACTCAGCCCGATGGATTGGTGTCAGTGGGACGATCTGCTGCAGCAGTTTACCAATAGCGACGCATGGGGGGAGTGAAAATGGAAACCCGAGATCAATACATCGAAAAATGTGCCTGTTCCAAACTTCCAAAGTTCGCCTGTGGGCCGTTTTCGGTGGGCTGTCAGAGCCAAGCAATTATGGAGCCCCTTCCAGAGACAATAATCCGTCGACCGGTCACTCGACTTCAGCAATAAAACATTCAATAACACCCTGTCTTATAGACCTGCATGGCTTTATCGACGTCATTCATGGAACATCACTTGTTGATCCAAAGCCGGTTTCTTCTCCGCATTATCAAGTTCAGCAATTTAAATTTAAGGTGATTGACATGCTATGATGTACGCCGTTCCTGGCCGAAAGCTCAGCCTTAAGGTCCCTACGGACGCAACTCATCTCCTGCGGCAGTGCGACTCCATCGTTGGGCGGGTTCCCACGGTCAGGCTGTTTCAGTGTGATTAGCCAATCCACAATTGCGCCCCAAAAGGCTGTGATTCGGTCTGACGGCTCCAGAATTTGGTTCTATTCTCGTTTTGCTCGTATCCCGCACCATAAAACCAGCGTATTTCCGGTCGGAGTAAAGCCAACTCTCAGCCCTTCAGGCAGCCAACCAAAGTCATCCTCAGCCACCGTCCTTTTAGAAACTCTCTCCGTTTAAGACCGCCACGATTCCTAGACATGGTGCAAAGCCTGCCTCCTTTAAGATCCCCAAGCAATCGCCATGTCTGCGAACCATGAGTCCCACGGTCGTTCATCGCTTCCGCCACATCATTCATAGAGCCCGTCATTCGGTTTCGCGTCAGCGCAAGCCAACCATGTACGCCCTTATCCACCCTTTCGTCGTTTCCTAGGTGCTAACTTGTCATCAGAACCTCTCCAACTCGCAATGAGCCCCTCTGGGAGCGACTGCCGACCAACGTCCTGGTCCAGGTCCTGGCAGAGTGCGATCTCTACGACATTTACTCTCTTATCCTGACTTGTCGCCGCCTGCACCGGCGCATCTATCGCAATGAATTCGCCATCGCCCAGGAATATCTGCGTCGTCGCACACGACGACTTCAGTTTTCTGAGGATCTGGAATACGATGAATTGATCGATTCGCCCGGCGACGACCTGTCCTTCATCTCGGACCTCTTTCCCCCTCCACCACCGCAGTACACCGGTCTCAATACCGATATGCGCGACGATCTCCCCGAGTATACACTCGGATATCTCGCGGACCTCACGCGATGCTGGACGACCTGTATCCGACTCTCCTACTATCTCGCCGAATACGTCGTCCAGAATCATCTGCAAACCAATGCGATCGCTCAACCGCTCTGGTCGTCCTCTAAAACCCAAAAGGAAGTGGTATACAGTCGAGCGGTCGGACTCTTGCAAGCCCGTCTCCTATACCCCATGTACGTCATCTCCGCTCTCTCCCTCTCCCTCTATGTCTCTCTATGCCTATTGTCTATCAAGCGATCCGACCCTCTCTAACCAAGAACAATAATATTCAGGGCCTACCTGATATTCTTCCTCGAAACCAACGCCACAGCCCTCGACTCCAACCAGCCTCTCTCTCAACAATCCATCCTCCAATCTCCCCCGTTCACAGACACCTCCATCCTCCTCTCCACCCACCACTGCATGCACCTCCTCTGCGCCTCCGTCCAGCGCCTCATGGCCCCCGAAATCCCACACACCTCAGCAGAGAATTGGCTTGGCCTACTCCTCACCACATCCACACTCGAGCGGCTCATGGATTTCTTCATCGCCGCAGCCGCCGACTCCTCCCCCTCCTCGGGCACCACGAACACCACGAAACGAAAACCCTCCTCGTCATCCTTATCCCCACGATCCAGCCCCTCGTCTTCCCCTCCTTTACCATCTCTCTCGTCGTCCTCGTCAACCTGGACCCAGAGACGCGAGTTCATGTGGCGTATGCGTGCCGATCTAGGCGAATTCCTGGCCCTGGCTGGAACCAGGGCTGGGGCGCGGTATAGCATTTCTGGGGGTTCGGACCACCCGTTACCCAGTCTGGGGAGTATATGGTTCGGGGCGGCGCAGAGGGAGATCTGTCGACGGGGCGCGATCCCACATTTCTCTGATGAGGTGCCGGTGCTGCATGGGTCTGGGGTGCTGCTGGGGTGTGAGTTTTGTGATGGTGTTTCTTTTTGAGAGAGCTGGTTTTTTGGTTTGGTTGGTTGGTTGTTTGTTCACTCTGTATCTGGATGTAGGGACTTCGTGGTTTCTACTTACTTATTTATACCCTTTGCTAGCGGGCAATTTTACTATTTATTCAGTCTTTGGCATTGACAGTAGCAGTATGTTGAAGAAAAGATGTGCATAGTATGGAATTGAATGGGTAAGGGAAAAACAATAATCTATCGAGGAAAAAAAAGAATAATCACATATTTACTTCACAATCCTTACCAAGGGATAAGGTACCGTAGCAGCTAAACTGAATATAAGGCAGAAAAAGAAATGAAAACTCTATCCACGCCAAAAGCATGAAGAAAGTGATAAAAGACAGGCAATGCTATAAGCGTGGTATGCATGATTCATCAAGCACAGCGTGACGAATGCGTGCCAATATTAATACATCATTAGGGGTAGCAAAAAAAAAAAAAAAGAGAGAGAGAGAGAGAAAGAGAAAAGAAGGGGGTTTTCTATCCAGAGATCAACACCCAGAGAAGGAAGAAAATCTATCCCAAGTCAGTTTTACCGCATATAAGATGAAGGGGGGAAGGGCCATATGGAACGTACCATCAAAACTCCAAACATTTTAGCAATCAGCCAGCGGTTCCCAGAGACTCGCACCCAGTATTTCATTAGTTCACGTTGCGCTCCTTGCACGTTGTCCACCACGTCTTCGGTGTTGGCGTCTATCCGCTGGATCATTTCCGATTGCTCGCTGACCATCTGCGCCAATTGGCCAAAGATCCCGCCGAGTTCGTTGATGGTGCGTTCGATGGCATCGATCGCTTCCCCACGCGCCTGGATGTACGAATTACTCGACTGCGCCTCTTCCATCACCAGTAATTGTTGGTCTGAGTGCAAGGACGGACGACTCAATGGCGACGGGTTCGACGGCTCCAGTGTCAACAGGTCGGAAGCACCGCCCGGCTGAGGCGTTCGTCGTCCGGAGGGATTGTACAGCGGAGAATCCGACCGCTGGGTATCGAGTGCGGACTGCGACTTTGACGACACGGACGATACAAAGTTCTCGGTTCGGGAGCGCGATGCTTGGATGTTCTTGGTGCGGACCTCCAGCACTTCCTTGAAGTTGGCGCCTACATCGGCCAGCTTGCCTTGCAGCATCACCACAACCTGTCATCGGAGATATTAGCCACCAGCGTTGACCCGATCCATTTGCTCAGCCCACATACGTTATCATTATGTTCTCCTTCTTGATCCGCCTTCGACCGATTCGACTTAGGATGTTGCGAGAGCGTAAGCGCCTGCAGTCCCGCGATCTGCTGGTTCAGCGCCGCCAGATCTTGTTTGATCACGTAGGTCAATTCCGAGATCTCAACGGGCTTGTCGTCGAAGAGGGTCTTTCGCTTCGCCACTGTAACCAGCACATTGCACATTAGACAACAGAGCACATCATGCACCAAATCAGTTCCATCCTACTCACACTCTGCCAGTCTCTGTAATTTCGCCGTGGTCCCCGTGATGCCGCGACCGATTTCAGCCGCTTTCCTAGCAAACTCCGACCGCGATCTCTTGCCGCCCGGGGCATTTCCGTCCTCGTACCCGTTGGCCTGTCGTCGCTGGGTCTCCGACAGCAGATTCTGTCGCTGCGCCCCCACCTTCGACGAAGCCATGCGTTTCTGGGCCTGGCCCAGGATGGCGTGGAATTCGCCCGTACGATCTTGAATGGACGGGCCGGTCATTGTGTTCAGCACGGTCGCAAAGAGGATGTGGAGAAATGTTGGTTTGTATTAGGTGACCAATATGAGCGGCCAATCAGTGAGGGTCAGACAGCGTGCCAGAAGTGTTCAGTATGCGGTTATACTCCGTCTGGGGGGGAAGCTCGATCTAATCGATAAGGAGGCAAAAGCAAGTTGAGACGTGTCCGGTTGTCGGCAACGGGAGAAAGATTAAAGTCAAAGAGGCAGAAGAAAGAAGTTGAACGAGTGGCGCTAAGGTCAGTGGGAGGGGAGAGATTAGGACGATGAGATCAAGCGAGGCATATCAGATCAAGAGAAAAGAGCAGAAGGCTGGAAACGTAATGGGCGGACGACTTTCTTGTCCGGGGGAATTCGTTGCCCGCCGAAACAGGCAAAGACGCCGGTCGTCCCACGTGACATCACCCGCCACATGCACAGCCACGGCCTCCAGGCAGTCGCAATACTGCGTCCAGTGCGTTCAGGGGAACAGAACTCTATTGCTTGGGCTCTTAATTACCTGCCTGCCTTAGTCTTGCGCAATCCGCCAGAAAAGACCGGGTTTTCTCCCCAGTCACACCCCCGAACACGTCACCATCCCGGTTCCCTCTGCCGTGGCTGAGCCGGTACTGTTCTTCAACGGAGCCTTGTCCACCCACGTCATCCTTGTGAAACGACGTTGATTTCCCTCCCTGAAGCACGCGCCATTACGACGCTCGACTCTGCTCGGAATTTCTCTCGTCTGGAGGAATCAATCAACTTGCACCTGTCACTCTTCTCTCTATCACCCTTGGCATTCATATGCCGATCAGTATCTGACACCACCGTTCCTGTTGATGATCCCACGCTCTTCCGACCGAGTCCGCTGCACCAATGGCTCGCCCTTTCAACCCCTATGAGCCGGAGCTCAACCAACTGTACGTATAATGCAGAGACAGGCACATTCAATCATCATCCTCCTATAGAACCCCGCTGATCAATCCGTTAGCTCGAATAAAGGCAGCCCGATGTCGCCCTATCCACGTGGCGACACCGACACCCCCCTATCCTTCAAGACCAATGTCAATCGATCAAAGACCAAGCGTTGGGTAGAAGCCAAGAAGTTCTCCTACGATGGCAACGACTGGGGCGACGACGAATACGGCGAGTATGACGATGACGACTACGAGGAGCCTCCCCCGCTTCCACAATCGACGCATATGAACCAGAGCACCCCCGGCATCTCCAAGGGGCTTTCCAGGGACCGCAACAACACAGAGACGCCGCCGCTCCCTTCCATGGATCGATCGCGGTCCATGGATCAAGTCATGACGCTAGGTGTTAACGATGCCGGCGACAGCAGTCGCAGTCGCTCGGTCGATCGGACTGTCCCGATTGTCCGCCCCGCTGAGATCTATAACCGTCTTCGAGGAAATACGGCCGAACGTGCACAGGCTCCGGGGCCTGGCCTGACGACCGGCGATTCAGCCGGGGTGGGTCCACCGCAGACAAATGCTGGTGCCCATGGCGATCAGCAGGTAAACCAGTCGTTGGATTCAGGAACGCAGTCAGGCAGTAACACCCCGAAGGATGGTCTACCGGATGCCAACCGTCTCCCTGGTTTTGGCACAAACTTAAAGGGTGAATCTGATCTTAGGACCCCGACGGACGGCACGAATCAAACCCAACCAGAATACCAGCTGCATCATAACCCGTCCCTCGGATTCCGGTCTGTCGTGCATCAAGCATTCGATGTCCCGGAGACACCGTCCAGCACCCTTGAAAGCGTTGGGAGATCAAACAGCGACAGCACGTCGGTCATCAGCCCTATCATCGGTCAGCGTACTACGAGTGACAGCAGGACCCCCACCATCGTCGAAGAGCCCGAAAGCACCACCCCGCCCAAGGGCTTCAAACCTGGCCACCGTCGAGACCTGAGCGTGCCCAGTCCTGGCAACAGCCCGTCCAGGAAACCTGAGATCACCAACAACGACGCAGCTCCGCCACCAGCCCTGGCCGAAATGTCTCACAACATCCGCGAGGCGCTGTGGTCCCCTTCGCCAACCTCGCCGGAGCAAACCAGGGGTGAGGAAGGAATGCCGGCGCCGCTCAAGCTCAGCAACAGCTCGACTCCGGTGCCCAACGAAGCCGCTGCCATCCCGGTCATCGTGCCGTCGATGAGCAGCGACAATTCGCCGCAGGATACGGAGAATGACCGACTCAGGAAGGAGATCATTCGCTCGTTGAGCCGCGAGAATACCCCGTCCGAAGAGCCAGAGTCGCACGAAAATTCTCGACCGCAGACAAGCCGACAAGAGAGTCTCATTCCGAGCGAGTACGAACGGTACTGGAGCGAAGATCTCAATTCTAGCCCTCAAGAAGCCAAGTCAGCAGCTCCTGCGCCCATTCCTGCCGCGAACCCCTCGCCCGACATGTATTCTAGCAGTCCCCAGCAGTCGTCTCTTCCCGCACCCGCCGCTCGAGAGCCGGGGCCGGACGCAGAACATAAACTACAGCGGAAGTTCTCGTGGGAGTCATCCACTTCCTCGGACGACATGGTGCCTCCCGCCGTCCTGCAGACCATTGCCCCCGAGCCGATGCCCGGGCAATTTCCCGGGGCTCCTGAGGTCAGCAGCCTGCCAGACGCGCAACCGGCGACCCGCGAGCTCGACGACTCTGACCACGAGGACCGCCAACAGCAGCCAACTCCAGAGAAACCTAGATTGTCCATCATTACCCCGACCTTACCCGACAACCGCAGTATAACTTCCGATCGGCAACTGCCCGAAGTGGTTGACGCCGAGACGGTGGCAGGTCCCACACACATGGAGGATGAGTATCAGACTCCAGCCGAGCATCCAGTATCCTTTCCACCACCGCGCACGTCATCATCGTCCGGTCCAACCCCATTGGGATTCCGAGAGATCATGGGCAAGCCCACGTCTAACGAGCGGGTGCAGGCCTTCAACGAAACTCGCGAGCAGTTCAGCATGATCGACACGGGGCTAAGCCACTGGATCCAGGTCACCGTGCACGCTCATCCCGAGCACTCGGACGTGGTGGAGCAAAGCTTTAAGCTATCGACTGGCGAGCCCAAGCTCGGCGGGTCTCGCGGCAAGTTCCCCAAGCTGCCGTCCCTAGGCACCTTCGCGACGAGCGGCGGCCAGGATCCGTCGCCGTCCGGGTCTGGTCACGTTCGACGACCATCGGCGCCTCTCGGGTCGATGATGAACAAACAGCAGGTCGAACAGCGCGGGAAAGACTTGCTGCACTCGGCGGGCATGCTGGGCGGGCAAGCCGGCAAGACGGCGAAGAGTCTGTTTGCCAAGGGGCGCAGTAAATTTAAGGGCGGAGGAGGCGATAAGGTAGAGCCTTAAAATCTCTTACGGTGGTTAATAATCGGTTTTCCAGTATATATATCTTGTCTCTGCCTCGGTGTTTTGTTCTGATCTGCTTGGGTTGTTCCGCTCTGATTTCTTGATGTTTATTGATACCACGACTGTGACTGTGACTGACTGTGACTGTGACTGTAATTGAACATACTGCTTTCTCCTGTTTCCCTCTCTTTTCTTTTCTTTTCTTTCCTTTCCTTTCCTTCATGTACTGTCTACTTTCGGAATGCGAGATGATTATTACGATATCTACTTTTCTTGTCTATGGGTCTATCTAATGGAATGATCTTGTAGGGCTTTCAGTCATTCCGGGGGAAACGATGCAATCTACGACTGTCGGAGATGCACCTGTGGCCAGACATAGACGTAGCAGCGCTGAATGAGGACGCAACCCACGACCCACGGAATTCCCAGGGCCTGAAAAGCCCCCAACGTCAGATTCGACGCAAACCCCTGCCAGCGATCGCCAAGAACCCCGCGACTTTGCGCCGCAAACCAGCCGCCGCGACCACAAAGAACCTGCGTCGGCCGCTCCCTCCTCAGGGATCGAGTGGTCGCTCGTCCATCTCGTCCCTCGACGAGGCTGAGAAGGAGAAAGCCGCCCCGTCCCTCTTTCATCGTCCCAACCTGTCTTCCCTGTCCGTGCCGCTTGGCAGGTTCGCCCCTTGCAGACTCGTCGCTGATCGTGATCGTGATCGAGACCGCGAGCGTCCTTTGCGCCCTCGTCCCCGTCCGTCATCACTCCCCCGCCTGCAGTTGACAATGCCCAAGGAGAGGAATCCCCTTGTGAGTTGACTACGGTATAACTTACGGCCTGAAACTAATTCTCTAGGGCCGTCTGTTCGGACGCCACAAGGCCGATCGGCCGCAGTCGATGGAACACCTGCCGACTTCGACTCCCCGCACTCGAGATCTGCTGGGGAAAGCCGACCATCTCAGCGTCCCTCGTCCCCACAGTTTTCAGGGCCAACCGCCGCCGTTGGGGGGTTATTTTGCGCCCGACGCCGTCTCGCTGAATGTTGATTCTGGCTCGAGTCCAGCTTCTCCTCCTGCACAGTTCCACAGCCCCCCGCTGACCCAGGGCTACGCCCATTCTCACTCGCAATCATACTCGCATCCCCACTCGCGCACCTACTCCCATTCGAACCCTCACCTTCACCGTCTCAGCAACAGCCTCAGCTTCACCAACAGCAACAACAGCTCCCAGGTCTCCCTCCAGCCGTCGCTCTACCGCACCGTGACGCCCCAATTCCAACCCGAGAACAACCCCGCCTCTTCCCCCTCGCGCCCCCACAGCGCTCGCTCCCGCGGACGCAGTCCTAGCCCCGAGCGCACCTACGCGCAAGACCTGCACCTCCGGTCTCGTAGTCCCAAGGCTTTTGCTCCACGTCCGCAGGAAAGAGTCATACCCCGGACCGATCCCAACGACCCGGCGTACCATCTGGGAACGTTCCGATCGAACCCCCGAACGAGTCGCATCGGCGACCAGGAGCGACCATGGAAACTGACTATTCCGGGCATGGAAGGCGATGGTGGAGACGGAGAGGGGGAAGAGGAAGATGGGACCTTACTCTGGTTGAAGGCGCAGGGACAAGCACACATAAAAGCTGAGCGGGAGTTAGAGATGAGGGCCCTCAATCGGACTATTAGCGGGGATAGTCAGGACATGGTGTTCCCTTCCAAGGTGGAGAGTCGACCGGATGTCAGTACTTTCAACAGCAACGGCAAACTCCCCTCCTATGAAGAAGAAATCGCGCGCCATCCACCGCTGCGGTCCTTCCCGTCTAGCGACGAGAAAGCTACCTCTGCTTATACATCTGGGGGTACATCCACTGAGGAATTCGAGTCCGGGGAAAGGGGAGAGAGGATTGATCATCATCACCCCACACGCGGTCAGGCTCGAGTGCTCAACCGAACAGATATGCCGGTTGAATTGCCTGTGAAAGGGGAGGACGAATCTACCGAAGAGATTGTCATGTCGAGTACGGCTTATCCGGGGCAGGAGTGGAAGCCGTTAGGATTAGGAGAGTGGGAGTATTGATTTCATTTCCGCTTGAATGGCAGGTTGGATCAGGGTTATAAGAACGGCAATCCCAGGAGATGGATGGGCTGTGAGATGATCTGGAATGCGTTCCTTTAGGTATTGAATAGTAGTGACGTTTAGCGATTTGATCTGAGTCAGGGAGCGGGTACATAATGAGAGATGAATTCGAGAGTTCACTGATGCTTCAAGTGGAGACCTTAAAAAGAGGGCACCCCGCCCATGCCCAAACAGGCAACTCGGTCTTGGCGCGGAGAGGAAGAATCGCAAGTCGCTTTCGTCTTCCTCTCTCCGCCATCTTCTTCCTCGCTCTATCCTCCTTCTGCCGCCACTTCCGCTGGTCGTCACGTTCTTTCGCTCTCCCTGAGATTCGGGTCCCAACTGTCACTTTTCATCACTACCACATCAGTTCGTGCCACCTCTCGCGCGTTGGTTGCTCTTGGGTCCTATCAGAAGTGAGTGCGCGCTCCCCTCCTTCCCTGCCCTCCGTCCACCACCATCGTTTTCATTAGCTGCGGCTTTTCCTGGGGGTTTTTTATCGGGTATATGAGCTATAAAAGGTCCGAGGATGCTCTGGATTCGCGCTCAGGAAGCTACAGTCCGGTTTAGGCAGACACGTGCTTCCGCAAAGATCCATGCGCATAGCACTGTCAGCTATGTTCGGGGGTTGCGGATATGTCTTAAGTGCCTGTCTGGCGGGCTACTTGTTTGTGAATTTCTTTGTGTCCTTTGGGTGTTGCAATCATGAAAACAGAGCACAATAATCTATGCGCCTTCTTTCAGGTTCCTTTCTGCGTTTGTCGGTAGGATATTCTTTGCGCTAACCATGACATTTCTTTCAATGTTTGACAGGCGCTCCCGCGGCCTCTATTCTCCATCTCATCGTTGAATCACCTCACAACCCCGATCCCCGAACGATATCGCTATGGCTATGGACGCAAAGGAAATCGAACTCAAGGCCAAGGCCTTGACTAAGGCGGCCACCTCGAACGAGCCCGCATCCAGCATCGTCGGGCTGCTCAAGGAGCTGCAGAATGGCGTGAAGGCGACCGAAGACCTGCTGCGCTCCACCCGCGTCGGTATCATCGTCAACAAGTTCAAGCAGCATAAGTCGCCCGAAGTCGCCCGCCTATCCAGCGAGATCGTCTCCAAGTGGCGCAACGAGGTCAACAAACAGAAGGTTGGCGCGTCGCCGGGCGCCAGCCAGCGAGCGAGCAGCTCGCCACGCCCCGCACCGAACGGAACCGCCTCGCCCGCGGGCTCGACGCCCACCGACAAGTCGTCCAAGCTGTCCGTGCCGCCGGACCGCCGCTCGTGGAAGGCCGACGGGGTGGATACCAGCCAGACGGGAAGCAAGATCCGGGACAGCTGCATCGGTTTGGTGTATGACGGGCTGGCGCTGAACTCGACGGAGCCGCCGCGCGCCGTGCTGTCCAAGGCCGTGGCCGTGGAGGCGGCGGCGCACGCTGCCTTCGGCCCTGAGACCAAGGAGCAGTACCGCACCAAGATTCGCAGCCTGTTCCAGAACCTGAAGAACAAGTCCAACCCGACGCTGCGGGTGCGTGTGCTCAGCAGCGAGGTGACGCCCGAGCGCTTCGTCAAGATGACGCACGACGAACTCCGATCGGACGAGCAGCGTGAGAAGGACCGTCGCATCGAGAAGGAGAACATGGACAAGGCCATGGTGGCGCAGGGTGAGCGCAGCATCAGTACCAGTCTGCAGTGCGGAAAGTGTGGACAGCGCAAGGTCACATACACGGAGGCGCAGACTCGCAGTGCAGATGAACCGATGACGTTGTTCTGTACATGTTTGAATTGCGGAAAGTCATGGAAGCAGTGATCTTTCTTCCTTTTCTGCTGTTTCTTCTCTTTCTTCTCTCTCTTTCTAAATTGGTCGGGTCATCTGCTGACACCCCCAACGTTCAACTTAACCCCCTTTTCATCACTTTTTCTTTTTCTCTCTCATGTGTTATCCTATCATCAAGGTTGTCAAATTATTATCAGGCACGGAGTTCCATGGATCTGTTTCAAAAGAAAGTCTTTCTTCTTCTTTGCCTGTTTCTATTATCATTGGTTTTATTTGATTTCGTGCGCTTTCTTCGGTTACTAGGAAAGTAGGTAGATAGATTTGGAGCGGTTGACTTAGGTGCGAAGATATCTCTTTCCATTTCCTTAGGAAATTGGAACTATTGTTAGCTTTTATTCATTGACGAAGGACTTTATCTTGGTCTAGGTAACCTACCTTGGTTGTATTTGTAGAAGTAGGTTTCTAGAGAGTAGATAGATGACAGGTCTAGATTCTTGATAGCGATGTCGATGTCGATCTCATTGCTGTATGTATCTGGATGTGAGTGGAGTATGCAACTATGTACATGGATATCAAAGTGGAGTTTTTCTTTTTCTCGTCTAGGATTACCTTCCTATCTATCTATAGATTATCTAGATATGTCCAATTCATACATTACCCTCTCCCCCCTTTTATCCTTCAGGTTTCAATGTTTCAACCCAGCCATTCATTCAACAGAATATGTATACCTCCATCCTACCCCTCAAAAACCCCATGATTCAAATCCACCCCCATATCCCTCGCCATACCCTGCATCTGCTTCTCAATCTCATCCTCCATGCCACCGCCCAAATGCAAAAACTGCTTCACCTTCGTGAACCAGAAATACAAGTCGCTCGTGAACAGCACCACCCGGAAGAGCATGTGGCGGGCCAGGTTCCGCATTTTCTCACCCGCCGGCAAGTCAGGGGACTCGACTAGGGCGCGAGACGCCCAGGTTCCGGTGATCTTGACGCGGTTGACAGGGGAGCCCAGGAACTGGTTGTTAGCCTGGACGATGCGCAGGTTCCGGCCGATGAAGATGAGTTCCTGGGGCCATTTGGTGCCGTCGCCGAGGATGTCGCGCATGCCCTTTCGCGCGGCCTGTTGCATCTCGTAGTGTCGGTGGCGGCGCTCCACCTTGGACAGGCCCTCGAGGCTCGTCTGCACGGTGCGGTCGCCGCCTTGGTAGGGCCGCATGAGCGTCGCGGAGGCGAACATGTCGGCGTTCGTGATGCCCCAGTCTGCGGCGACGGAGCGGAGCGTGGCGTTGTCGAAGGCGAGAAGGGCTTTCCAGAATCGCGCGTATTGGTGTCGGAAGTGCGGGCTCATGTGGATGTAGAGGCCGTGGTCGATTAGCACGAGCTCGGCTTGGCCGGAGGGCTTGCGGCGCACGAAGATGTTACCTGGGTGAGGGTCGCAGTGCACGATGCCCCAGAGAAACATCTGTGCGGAGAAGAGGTCCACCATGGTGGTCATCACATCTTTTAGGGATAGACCCAGCCCGCCGCGGTTATTCCAGCCGCGCCAGTAGTCGCGGTCTGGTTTGAGGTTGGCGCCGTTTGGGTTGCGAGGGGAGTTCTTCTTGCTCTTCTTATTGTTGTTGTTGCTGTTGCTGTTGCTGGGCGGGTCTAAGGGAGTACCGTGGCAGCCTGGGCTGCCTTCGCGCCACCCGCCGCGCCAGCCACTCGTGATGGCGTCCTTGTCCCAGAGACGCACGCCCTCGATCCATTCGGCTGTCATGACACGCTTCGAGCTCAGCTCGCGGTAGACCTTAGGGATGTAGACGCGGCCGCGCAGACGGGACTCGCCGGCGACGAGGCGCGCCATGTCCTCGGAGTTGTCGGCCTCGTTCTCGAAGTCGGTTTCGAGGAACAGACGGTCGCTGACATACGGGACCAGGGAGTAGAAGGGGATCTGGAACATGCGGCTATAGATCCAAGTGACAACTCTAAGAGACAAATCGATCATCAAATCAGCATGTGCTTGAAATAACATGGTAACATGACCGTTTCAAACCTACTTGAAAGCCCACAGATCCCACAGAATCTGCTTTGCAATCTCCCGTTTCTGGATCTTGATCGCCACCTCACGACCATCCTCCAGTCGGGCCCAATGCACCTGAGCCACACTGGCGCTAGCCCGCGCCTGCTTCTCCATGACGCCCTTCTCGGGGTCCCCGGAAAACGACACGCCGAAGACCTCCTCGGCCGAGCGACCGAAATCCTCACGGATGACGCGCTCGACATCCTTCCAGTCATTCTGCGGTGCGTCGTCGAACATGCGCGAGAACATCTTCTGGAACTCGGGCGGCAAGATGGCCGACTGCATGGCAATCGCCTGGCCCATCTTCAGATACAGCCCGCCATTGTGCCGCAGGAGGTCGGACAGACGCTCGGCGTTGCGCGCGTGCAGAGCGGTAATGGACTCAGCGAAGGGCGGGTCCGGGCGGAAATTGATCTTGTAGTCGGCGGCGACGATGATGCCTAGGCCGAAGGTGCGCGCCGTGCGGGTCAGGCATTGCTCGTAGAAGAGCGAGTCGACAGTGTAGATGGTTCCCGTGACCAGAGAGAAGTACGCCAGTCGTCGGAGCCACTTGCGAGTGCGTGTATATGCCTTCGCAGGGACGGGTTTGCCTAGCGAGCTGGGCGAGGGAGGCACGAGAGGTTGGAATTGGCCGGGGTGATGCACTGATCGTGAGGGCGCATGGTGGAGTCGATGACGCAGGAGGGGACGCAGTTGGGAACGAGCCGAGCGCCAAGAGGCGAAGAGGGAGGCCATTCTTTCAAGAGGTCATCATTAGATGGAAGAGTAGATTGAGTGAAGGTGGGAAGGGATTCAATAAGAGTTGAAGTTGAAGTCGAAGGAAAAGGAGAAGTAGAAGGAGCAGGTGGTGTGCAAAGGAAGAAGTTCGTACGAGGCGAGCAGGCCGAAGGATTTCGGCGGGTTTACATCCGCGGAGTCTCCGACGCCGACTTTAGTCAGATCATTCTATCTTCATTTTATCATTTCATCAACTATGTCATCCTAATCACATACACAATACACAATCAGTAACAAGGTAACTACAACTCCTGCATCCCTATCCCCAACGACCGACACACCTGCGCATACTCGCGCATGTTCCCCGGGATGATCTCCTGCCACAACTCGTCCTTCTGCAAGTAGGCCAGTTGCTCGCTGCAGATCTCATCCGACGCCATGGGTAGCAGACGAGGCAGATGCACCAGCGCCGCCCGGAAGAACTGCTTCTTGAAGCAATTGCCGAACTCCGCCAGCGTCTCGTCGTCCGCGCAGATGTTGCGCCCCTGAAGCATCGGCCCGCAGCGCTTCTTGATGATGTCCGCCACGTCGTCGCCCAGCTGCATCATCTCCTCCTCTTGTTGCGGCGAGTCCACGCGCTTCATCATCGCCCGCACCGCCGGCACGAAGGTGTTGTTGCGCGTCCAGAGGTCCCAATGCGGCACGGTGGGCTGGCAGCCGCGATCGCAGATCTCCGTCTGGAATTGCTGGAAGATGTCGCCGGGTCGGCCGACCAGGGCGGCGACGACCCTGAAGCAGGCAGTGCCCATTTTGGCGGAGGCGAGGGGCGAATTGCCGAGGATGAGGAGAGGGCCGAGGAGGGAGAGAAGGGAGAGGCCCGGGAGGCGCATTCTGACGGAGGGAAAGAACGAGGAAATCGTAGATCAGATGTAGGAATGTAGAGGATCGGCAGACAGTAGTAGACGGCAGTAAACAGGAATGTGAAGAGAAAGAAATGGAGGAGAGAAAGTCGAGTTGAAGAAGGGTAACCCCAATTCTGGAGGATCGACACTCCCCGCATTTCTGCTGAATTTTGGTTCCTTTCAGGTTAATCGGGTCATTGGATGTTCAATTCTGAGTGGCCATTCGAGGGGAGCCTGTCTGTGGCACATGGTTACATCGAACGTATAAATGTCATGTCATGGCTTTGGGAGTTTGAGTGCCGTGAGGCTTGAGATGTGCTTGAACAGAGAACGGCGGGTGTATATGGAGTATATATCTTCACCTCGGCATGTCTCCTTCACATTCACTTTTTTGTTCTAAAAAAACCAAAGTGTACAGAGTATTTCAAATATTCCCTTCTATGTTAGTCGGCTTCTATCTCAACATTACTGTGTTTTCTTTTATAAATTTTTTATTCCCAACTATTCCACACAGTCTTCCCTTAGCGATGACAGAGAGGCATCTCCCTCTTGAATACAGCGCTCTGTCAGACTTCGGAATTTTTGCCCATGGCGTTTCTGCTGGCCCAAAGACAGCACTCAGATCAATTATTTATGCATTTTCCTCTCGATGAACCCCGAATCTCGGGGGGTTTGTGAGCATGGCAGCCTGAGGCATCCACTATTCGACCTCAAAGTCTTTTCTTTCGATCTCCTCTCTTCTCTCTCCCATCTCCGACCTCCCTGGTATTTGCAACCCCTCATCTCACAAACGGTACAATGACTTTGAATCTCGCGGAAGTCGACTCCCTCGAAGCCATCGTCATCGTTGACAATGAACTGGACCCCCTCTCTCCTCCCCCGCCGGACACTGTGCAGGTGTCCGGTCTAATGGGCAGTTTGGCGATGAATTCCCCCCACACTCTCACAGACCGCGGCGATGCCTCCAAGGAGCTTCAAATGGAGGACATTTGCTGCTCGGCACATGGTCTCTCCATTCTGGTGGTACGTCTGCTCTCTCCCATCGGAAACTACATGGCTGATCCCTCCAGATAGCCACCAAAGACGATGTAAAACACTCGGTGCTGTTTGATGCCGGTCCGGAGAAGGACGTCTGGCGTCGAAATGCCAAACGTCTGCGACCGAATCTCTCGACGGTGGAGCTGGTACAGCTCTCCCACTGGCATCGCGATCACTCCGGTGGGTTTTCCATCGCGTGCCTCGATCGAAACATATCTGTTGACATCCACAGGCGGTCTTCCCCAGGCGATCCAAATGATCACGGAGGCCAAAAAGGCCGAAGGCCGTTCGGACAACGTGCTGGTGGACCTTCATCCCGAACGCCCCGATTACCGCGGCTTCGGCATCGGGGAAACCATCGTTTCTTTCCAAGCAGATCCTACTTTCGAAGAGCTCGAGGAAGCCGGAGGAACGATCCAAAAACATGCCGAGGCACATACGGTTCTCGACGACTTCTTCTTAATCTCGGGAGAGATTCCCCGTCAGACTTCATATGAAACGGGCGTCAAAGCTGGGATGCGCTTTGACAAGGAGGAAAATGATTGGTTTTCCGATGAGATGATCGCCGACGAGCGTTTTCTCATGTGCAATGTCAAGGGTAAGTCTCCTATCCAGAGCCGCGATAGACTCCGTGGTAGTCTGACAGCTACTATAGACAAAGGTATCGTCATGTTCACCGGCTGCAGCCACGCCGGGGTCGTCAATTGCTCCCGACATGCGATCGACTGCCTTGACGGCTCGGTGCCTCTGCATGCCGTGGTAGGAGGCTATCATCTTGCCACAAGCGACGCCAGCCAGATGGAAAGCACCGTCCGTGACCTCAAGAAACTCGACCCTGCCGTTCTTTTGCCAGGACACTGCACGGGCTGGAGGGCGAAGTTTGCCATTGAGAAGCAGATGCCTGGTTCGATGGTGCCGTGCACGGTTGGTACTAGGATTACTTTCTAGTCGGATATTTGTAGGCTACTGCAGTTGCTTCCCGGACTACGGGTAGCCTATGCTTTTCACGCGGCCATATGGTAAAATGGGAGGTGCTATAGGTGCTGGTGTCGTTGGTAGGATATTTCATGACCTTCTTCCCTGCTTATCGGCAGATATGATTGATATGACTGAATGAGAAAAATATGTTTGCTCGATACAATATCGTCCTTGGCCTCAATCGACGTTCCTTGCATACCTTCTGAATGATTCAACTCAACAGATCATGCCCTCGAAAGTCCAATCTATCTCAAAAGCATCCCTTCCCGTCCAATTCAGTGACCTTTGAATGTTGCATAGCAAGCAATATTATTTCACAACTATTACTTCTGACATACTGGCTGGTTCACGGTGTTATACAGTTTATCTTTACCGGACATGGACAATTGCTTCTCTACATCGCACCGTCAAAGACATCATTTAGGAGCATCTGATCTCTCCCCTTGTCGAACCTCGTGCAGACTTTCAACGGAGACATTGTCTCGACCGCATCCATCCCCGCGAGACTTCTGGTTGCGATCTCTTCATATATGGCAATTGTTCTCGAGCAGGACGGATTTATCTATCAAATGCATATCGAATACCCCAGGAATCTCGTTATCAAGCTTCATGCTCCCTCTATTATATACCTACTATATCTTTCGCGCTTGTCTATTCAACCGTGACAGCAACAAATGACTCTACATGTCTTGAGAAGCCTATACCATCTCGGGTATCCAGATTGATGAGTTCTCCGACAATGCGAAATCACCTACCAACAGCTCAACTGCTTTGAGCTGCATGCTCGCTCCCTATATGATTTTCCAGGATATGTCATCACACTTGCATTCAATCAATGACAGAGTGTAGGGTCTACCCTACAATGCAACCACAGCACGGCATGTCTACGATCTCCATATTGCTCAGTATCTACACGATGCTCTGGAGTCTATGGACTAGCGGAGATCAAGAGCTATACGAGTTGACATTTGGTGAGCATACGTTCATTCCTACAATTAATATCTCGGGCCTTCTCCGACAAACTATGAGATGTGCCATATCATTCCCACTGCTCTTTAAAGACAATCAGCTCAAAAAATGGGTTACCTGAACGCAAATGAACTATCGAGTCGTCCTAAGAGAATGGCCAGAGCCTAGCCTCTCCATCAGGACATTAGTATACCAAAACAACCTAGTTCACTTCACCATCCTCCCCACGCAAAGAAGTTTGTCTTTACCACGTAACTAACGCATTTCATCCAACCAACACATCCCAAAACTGAAACAACCCATCAATCTGATTCCAAATCATTTCCATTCCCACTAAGACCGACGCATTCCCATCCAAACTCAATCCAACCCCCGCCAAGGAAACAATATACTATCCCTTTCTTGCCAAGTATGAGTTATGTATGTGTGCATGTATGTACATATTTCATGTCTGTCGCAATTGGCAAAGCATATACGGATACAGATATCATCTGTCCAGCCTAGTGTCACACCCACTTATCGTGATCGTCTCACTGCCAAGGAGGTCTGTGGAATTGTAGAACTCGAAATTTTGCTTGGCTGGGCTTGGTCGAGTCATCGAGTGACCTGACTGATTATTGTGAACGCCGACCGATTCATGTAGGACAGGTGAATCCACCGATCTACTCCACGCCCGTCTGGGCGAGAATCGGGTCGTGTAACAGACCCCCTCTTTCCCCCCTCTTTCTCGTACTTGAGTTGGCGGAGAGGAGTTGCATGGTCAGGGGAGATCAAGAGCATAGGCAAGAGAGAGGTAAAGATAAAGGAGTCTTGTCTTGCTTCCTACGGAGTGATTCGTATGCTTTATGGTTCAATACTCTCTCTAGTAAGTTTTTACGCAGGGAAAAGAAAATACTCCGGAGTAAAACTATATATTCCAAGAAAATAGCACCCTATACCAAGACCAGCCATTCGGCGTCCACCATCTTCCCAGCAATTGGATTGATACAAGCCCCTCCTAATTAGTAGTATCTATCCATAACTAATACTATCTAGCTATAGTATGCAACTCCTGATTACCCCGTACCCCGTATCTACTATGAACCACCATCTTATACCAAGACCACGACGAGACAAGACACGGCGGTGCACCCCCCCCTCAACAATCATCCCTTTCCTCCCACCCTTCTTCCCTCCCCGATCTTGTCCTATCTATCCTAACCACTTCCGTCCTCAGTTATCGTCCAAGACCATTCGGCAGGACAAGATCTCACCCCTTCCTTCACCAGGACGCCGCGATTGGCTTTCGGCCAAGACAATAAATCCGGGTGGAATGCACGGTATGTTCTTGGCGGTGGGAAGGGAGGGCAAAAAAAGGGGGAAGAGGTGGAAGTATCATGCAGCTAGTTTGTTACCTTGGCTATCTGTGATTGACTATCATGGATTTAGGTGCACTCGGTGGGATGGGATGGTGGCATCGGTCGGGGATTGGTGGTCGTGGGTGTAGATTTTGTATTTTAAATACTATTCTTTTTTGAATGTAATGTAATCAAGATAAGTACTTTTACGTCATATTTCGCCTCTATAGCTCAGTGGGAGAGCGCTGCACTTGTACCTTGTCATGCAGAGCGCGCCGGTTCAATCCCGGCTGGAGGCATCCACAACGTTCTTTTTTTTGCCGGACCAAGATCCGGTACATTTCCCTCACATCATTTTGAATTCCCGGTTTAGCTGTTTTTACAGGTTATTTTCGAAGATACTAACTAGTTTGAGAGTAAATAGACAATAGCAAGTAAAAGAATGGAAATAGAAGAACCCGACTCCCCTTCGCAGTAGTGAGGACTAAAACTAGACTGTAGAGATCCTTGAAAGTAGCTAGTACCTAGTAACTAGTCTAGTTAATAAAATATGTACATACATACACCATAACCCAGCAAGGCATCCATCTAAAACCCCAATCTTAATGGACAGTATGAATAGAACTCCTCATGGATGACTCTTGAGGCAGTGCTCACTACGCCAAG